CCACATACAGCACCACAAACAGAATCAGACTGAGGTATGCGATGAAAAAGTCCGTCACACTGAACTCGGTGATCCACGCCGTGAATCCCTGCGTGATGATAATCAGCACGTTAAAGAACAGCCCGTACCACGCAAAGAACGGCTGCCACAGCGCCTTGTACGGCAGCAGGTCCCGCGAGATGTCGCGCGCCTTCAGCGCCCGCATAAAGGCCAGATGGCAGCCACACAGCGACGCCCACGTAATCAGACCTGCCACGCTGGAGATGTTCAGGAACCAATTGAACACGGTGCTACCCGCGTTGGACACGTTCATGAACCCGAGCAGACCAAACGCCGCGGTGAAGAGCACGCTGTAGTACGGCACGCCCTTCTTGGTGACTTTCTTGAACCAGTGGGGCGCGAAGCCCTCCTGCGCCAGACCGATCAGGATACGACTGCCGCTGTAGACGTTGGAGTTGGCGGCCGACAGCACCACCGTCAACAGGACCGCGTTGATGATATGCGGCAGCACCCGGACTCCCGCCAGACGGGCCGCAATGACGAACGGCGACGAGTTGGCGTCGTTGCCATCCTTGAGAAGATCCTCGTTGGTGTAGGGCACCACGATACCGATGAAGAAGATGGTCAACACGAAGAAGAACAGAATCCGGAAGAACGTCTTGCGGATGGCCGAGGGCACCGTCTTGCGCGGGTTCTCCGTCTCTCCGGCCGCAATACCGACCAGCTCGGTGCCCTGGTAGGAGAAGGCAGCCTGGATCAGAACGCTATACCAGCCCACAAACTTGGCGGTCGAGTCGGGGTGCACTCCTGGGTACGGCGAGAACGGACCGGGGTGGACCCAGTACCGGAAACCCAGGTAGCCCTTGTCGCCCACACCAGCATCCACACAGATGGCAAAGATCATGAAACCAATGACGGTGATGACCTTGATGCTGGAGAACCAGAACTCCAGCTCACCGTAGAAGCTGACGGGCAGCAGGTTGAACAGGGTGATCAGCACCCAGAAGATGGCGATGAAGATGGCGATGTTGAGGTCCTTCTCCCAGAACTGGATGATCAGACCGGTGGCGGTCAATTCCAAGGCAAAGGTGATGGCCCAGGAAAACCAATAGATCCAGCCCATGGCGAATCCGAGACTCGGGTCGACCAGCCGCGTCGCATACGCGGTGAAGGCTCCGGGGATGGGGATGTAAGTGGCGATTTCTCCCAGCGAGATCATGACGGAGAAGACGATGGAGCCCATGAACAGGTAGGCGATGAGGGCGCCGACGGGACCGGCATTGGCGATGGCGGTTCCGCTACTGATGAAAAGACCTGTACCGATCGTGCCACCTGAGATGGTCAGTACCGTGCAGACTGAATCGTCAGGAAGCGTCGTGCATACCGATAGCAATCATCTGCAAATGGCGACTCTTCAGCTTGCGCTTGAGGTCCGGCATGGGATTGGACTCCCGACTGGCGCCATACTTCTCGCAGTCGGCGTCGCTCAGGTTGGGCGACCGGTTCGTCATGTCGACCTGAACGGGATCATCGTTGAGCATCATGCCCTTCCCCTCCTCGGACTTTTTGGGTGGGTGGTGACCGTCGGCCATCGTTGGCCTGGAGTATCCGTCGACCTAGGTGGTGGATAAAGTCGAAGCAGACCAGGTACTCCTAGACGTGAAGGTTGATGAAGTCGATGTGTCAATGAGGTCGAAGAGAGTGAAAAGGTCTCGTCAGAGTCGAGTATGACTCCACCAGACAGTGGACTCCCTCACTGCCTATCTACCGCTCTCCACAGGAAACGGCAGTGCGCTCCAGATAAGTGAGGGGACAGAGATAGCCGGTAACGAATGATGGGGACGACAGTAATGGGATTATGTACGAAGAGGGAGATGAGCAGAAGGTGTTATGTAAAGAGAACCGATAGAGCGGATGCAACGTCAAGTACAGACGGAGTCGATCCGGAGTAGAAAAGACAGTCCCGCCCGCGACATCAATCCCAGGCAATCGATCGTTTTTAAGAAAAGAAAGAAGAAAAAAAAAACTCTTCGGCTATCGCTGTTGCCCCTATCGCCAGGAAATTTCCGTCCGCGGACGACGGCGAGCAGCTCACGACTACTCGGGCGGCGAGGATTCCCGAGATGGTGTTCGACGGGTGGTGGTTCTGGTGGGCCGGTGGACCATTTTTTTCTCGTAATGCGTGGGCGCAGAGATTTCTGATAGCAGTTGGAACGTGCGGTGGCGACTGTTAAAAGACTGAAAATAATAGGGAGTAGTATAGTAGTTACTCCGTAGGTTATATCAGACATCTTCAGTCGCTACTATTCCGTAGTACTAGATGAGATCCTGTTATAGGACAGTTGGATAGCTGTATGGACATCGCCAAGACGACTACTCTATTCTTTCCTTGTCGTAGGGCTCCTTCAAGCCCAGACGGAGGGCGCCGAGCCGACAATCCTTCAGAGTTTTCGGCGGAGACGCTCGGCACCGTCCAAGTATCCAAGTAATCCAAGTAATACGGAGTAATCAGAGGACATCCAGGGGCCACCTGGTTCTCCATCTTTTCTTTTTGTCCTTGGATCTTCGTTGCCACGAGTCATGCCGCATAGGGCTAGTCAATTGCCTAGTTAGTTGATGGACCCAACATTCCACACGGAAACAGATCATAGGCTGTCAAGGAATGTATATCTTCCGTCATACTACGGAGTACAGTAGATAGCTTAGAAGCAGACAACGAGTTATAATCTAGACACTTATACGTACAATATCAGCATCAACATGTCCAGGGTATCTTCCAATCATCAGTCAATCAAAACACATAATAAATGCACTCCTCCATTCGCCCATTACTTGCACTTGCACTGCACTCGCGCATGTCAATACCGGACCGACTCCATGAACCGTCCGACTAATCAACCCTCCATCGCAAGCACTAGGGAACCGCAGCTATAAGGTTTAGACACTAGCATGAACAGTAGGTGGAGCAGGAGACTTCGTACTGGGGCCATCCGCAGGGGATCGATTCCGCAGCGCACCAAGGGTGCTGTAGACAGAGGTCGCTAAAAACAACGCCCTACCGAGTATATGGTCAATTCAACCGTCCCGACATTTATAAACTCTCGGGCTTGACATACCATTCAAACGCCCCAAACGCAACCGCCGCTTGGCCAGCGTTGCACGGGCCGGAGTGACAGTACTTGGGAGGCGGCAACATCGCCGCCAGCGCGATGAACCCGGCGAACCAAAAGATCGCGGTGATGATTTCGACCGCGGGGACGATCCATCGATGCGGGAAGTTGGGCACGAGCATAGGACCGGCGGCTAGGTATGGGGTGGCCACGAAGGCGGTCCAGATGGAGTTGAACAGCATGAAATTGACGGTATCGCTGTACCCGCCGGTAGCGACGCTAATGACTGCGGTTGTTAGTATTGTCTGGCTCTATGGTGGATGTGGTGGCCGGACTGACTGTATGCTGTCAAACCCAGGACGATGATGGCAAACACGACCTGGATGGCGCGAACGGGGTAGATCCACGGGAAGTTGAGCGCCATGGTCACTGCCTATGACTTTTATTTAGAGTGATCGTGTTGAAAGTATGCGATGATGCGACGAGGTAGAATTGCGCGATAAGTGTGATGTCGCTCGAGAAAGAGAATAAAGCGGTGGTGATGTCGTCTTTAAAGTCGCAAACCGACCCAGCGCTAGTGACGTGGGTGTGACTGGCTCTTGGTCTGAATGAATGTCCACGTGAAACTAGTCCTTAATATAGCTGCAGACCGCTAGTCTTCAGCGCTTAGACAGAAAATGAATACGAACGTCAGCCGAGAGGCGCTCGTGTTGGGCTGGAGGATTTAAGGATTCCTTCTGTGATCAAGGAACCCGGCTGCCTTATGACGCAGCCACAATCGTTCATGGCTGATTGCTGCCTATAGTGCTGCTATTATTATGCAGGCGGCTGCAGTTTCACTTTGATTGCACAAACATCATAGATCGTATAGAATATTCAATAATAGGGCAGCAGTTAGGGTTATCTAGAGTCGTAAGTAGTATAACGGTATAGAGTTGGTATATACTCTGTATAGTATGGTTCACCCCGCAAAGGGAAATCCGGGGTAAAGAGTCTCCCATGGTTATCGCCATCCTTTTCTCTTTCCAATCACATATCTAGATCACGACCCGAATGTATCATAAAGTAGAGTACTCCATACATCTATAAACATCTACAATCAACCCTACACCAGAACAAAGAAGACCATCTCGCCGATGAAGGATTCCCCCGCCTCGATCACGCCATCGCAGAACCAAAGCATCTCAAGAGTCTAAAGAATCATAAAAGCCTATGCATACCCCGCCTGTTCCCTTTGTTCCTTTCCTTTCTTCTCCCTCAATTGACCCCCTGCTTGACTGCCTACATCCAACGCAATGACCAATTCGCAGACTCCTCGTTTCGAGACCCTCCAGCTCCATGCTGGGTAATCCTCTCTACCTCTACTGCATCCTCTACTGCTTTGCAACAACTGACCTCCTCTAGCCAGGAACCCGACCCCACCACCAATGCGCGCGCAGTGCCCATCTACGCCACGACGGTATGTCCATCCATACACCCACCATAAATCAACAACACTAACAACACCAGTCCTACAACTTCAATGACTCGGCCCACGGCGCCCGCCTCTTCGGCCTCAAGGAATTCGGCAACATCTACAGCCGCATCATGAACGTACGCTTCCCACCACCAGTCGTATTAACTGCACAACTAAACTGGGACAATGCAGCCCACAGTCGACGTCTTTGAAAAGCGCATCGCCGCCCTGGAGGGCGGCGTCGCCGCTGTGGCCGCCGCCTCGGGCCAGGCCGCCCAGTTCATGGCCATCTCGGCGCTCGCCCACGCCGGCGACAACATCGTGTCCACCAGCAATCTGTACGGCGGCACCTACAACCAGTTCAAGGTGCTCTTCCCGCGCCTCGGCATCACCACCAAGTTCGTCCAGGGCGACGACCCGGCCGCCATCGCCGCCGCCATCGACGACCGCACCAAGGCCGTCTACGTCGAGACCATCGGGAACCCGCGCTACAACGTGCCGGACTTCGAGGCCATTGCTGCGGTTGCCCATGCCAAGGGAGTTCCTCTCGTCGTAAGCCCTGGCCCCCCCCCCCCCCCCCCCACCTCCCTCTTCCCTTCCCCATGTTCCCTCTGAAAGCGCAGCTAAGAAGCGAAAAAGGTAGACAACACCTTCGGCGCAGGCGGCTACTTCTGCCGCCCCATCGAGCACGGCGCCGACATCGTCGTGCACAGCGCCACCAAAATGATCGCGACACGGCACGACGATTGGCGGGAGTGATCGTGACAGCGGCAAGTTCGACTAGAGCAGCGCACGCGGCGCGGTTCCCGCAGTTCGTCGAGCCGTCTGAGAGCTACCACGGGCTGAAGTTCTGGGAGACGTTCGGGAGCATTGCGTTTGCGATCCGCGTGCGCGTCGAGATCCTGCGCGACCTCGGCGCCGCGCTGAATCCGTTCGCCGCCCAGCAGCTGCTCCTGGGCCTGGAGACGCTGAGTCTGCGCGCCGAGCGCCACGCCGCCAACGCCGTCGCCCTGGCGCGCTGGCTGCGCGCCAACGAGCATGTCAGCTGGGTGTCGTATCCTGGGTTGGAGGATCATCCCAGCCATGCCACTGCCAAGCGGTATCTGACGCGCGGGTTTGGCGGCGTGCTGTCGTTTGGGGTGAAGGGCGGTGCGGCGGCGGGGAGTCAGGTGGTCGATGGGTTCAAGTTGATTTCGAATCTTGCCAAGTGAGTGGTCCTTTTCCTTCTGCCCACGGCACGGCGGGCGAATGTGTACTGACGGTGGTAGTGTCGGCGACTCCAAAACCCTCGCCATCCACCCCTGGTCCACCACCCACGAGCAGCTCACCGACCAGGAAAAGCTGGATTCTGGTGTGACCGAGGACGCCATTCGCATTTCCGTCGGCACGGAACATATCGACGATATCATTGCCGACTTTGAGCAGTCGTTCAAGGCTTCCCGCGCCGCTGGCACCCAGTAGTATGTCGAATGACTGAGAGACGAATTACGACTGCTTTTTGTTATGTACAGCTCGTAGTCAATATACCCATGTTCTGGTGATATCACCCGAACCAAAGAGTAACGTAAATGCACGATTGAAGATGCTTGCATGAGTGCATGCTACAACTACCTCTACAAGACCAAATTAGAATAGAGCTAGATTGAACAAACTAAGGTATGAAATAAACGCCGGTGCAATGAGAACAAACAGCACGAAGCGCTGCTTTGGAAACGAGTCATCCACGAAGCCGCCCAGATCCAACCAATATAATGAAAGTCCCGTATCGATTACAAACAACAGGCCCTATGTAAGACAGGGAGAAAGCGGACCGACGTGTTCATCCTGAATGCGTGTGGATGAGACGGCTGTCGTGCAGCGCCATCGGAAACACCATCCAGTCAGGCGCCGTCTAGCAGTCTCTGGATGGGTTCCGCTGCCTAGGCTCCCGGACCAAATGATTTACACGCAAGCAAAGAAACAAAGAATTTTTATCAAAACAGGTATCGAATGAAAGGCGAAGATCGTCCCGCTTCTCCGTGACGTATGGAACGAGTCGTATATGTTACACCCAGAGGCATCAGCTGCCTCCTTGGCCGGGAGGAGGAGGTTGTGTCGAAGCGTTGGAACCGGCCTGAGCACCACCCATCATGAAGCCAGGAGGAAACATCGGCATCCCGGGGAACGAGAAGCCAAAGCCGGGGACCGCAGGCGGCACACCGACGTTGTTGGCGTTGGAGGTATCCCGCTCTGGTGGGCCGCCATGGCCACCAGGACCCATGCCAGGTGGCGGTCCATCGCGTTCGGGTCGACGGAATCGGTCTTGCTGAGTGCGAGACGAGATGGGCCCACGTTTGCCGCCGGTGTCGGTCGCAATACGTCTGCTGATGGCTAGTGGGAGTTAGCGGAGTCTAGAGCGCGCGGACAGGGTATCTACTGACCTTTGGAGGAAACACCGGCCCCGATTTCAATGTCGGGTTCTTCCACGACCATGCCAGATTCAATGGGCCGTCCACCAGTGCCACCATACTCGGCAGTGAGCATCCATTTACGGTCGGCTTCAGTCAGACGTTCGATCGGGATGACACTGATGCCGGTTTGGTAGTCACTGCAGTCACGGGGGCCGAAGCCAACACCCCACCGGGTCTATTGCTGTTAGTCAACGTCGAGGAATACAGACGAACGTAAGAAACTTACCCGAAGCTGCATATCACCAGCCTTGTATGACTCCATTCCTTCGCGAGCGTGGACCGCATCGTTGCGGCTGATCATCTTGATGAACGCATGGCGCTTGTCGATGTTGACAATGCATGTTTGAACGATGCCGAACTTGCCGAACAGGGAGCGCAAGTGGGCCTCAGATGACCTATAATAGAGTTAGAACAAAGTGTAAAAAGATAAATTTATCGATGTGACTTACGTGACACCGCCAACAAAAAGAGTTCTGCTGAGAACTGTTCGCAAAGAGTTAGAAAAGAGCTAAGAACCACAGACGGAACAAAGACGACAAACCTTTGATGTTACCCTGACCGATGGAATAGTCCCATTCGACCAACTTCGGACCAGGAGGAGGCAGATTGGGGTCCTTGCGAGGCGAAGGAGAACGACGTCTCCGGCCGGGAGGACTGCGCTGGCGATAATCATTGCCGCGACGGCCACGAGGGTCGCCCCGACGGCCGGGCGAGTCACCGTGATATTCACCATAAACCGGGCTATCGCGGCGACGGGGTGGAGACACATCACGGCGTCGGTCCCAGCCGGGAGAGCGCGAGCGACGACGGTAGCCACCGGGGGGAGAACGCATATAGTCGCGCTCACGGTCCCGGTCAAAATCACGTGACTGCGAGTCAGCACGGCCGCCCCAAGCGTTCACATTCTGCGCCCCCAGATTGAATCCGGGCACCTGGCCGGCGGCCACATTGCCCATGTTCGCGGCACTGGAGAAGCTGAGCAACTGCAGGGCTGTGGCCCACTGCTCCTGGGGAATCCCTTGCGCGGCCAACAGTTGCAAGAGCTGGAGCTGCTGCTGCAGGGCATCGGGCGCAAGGCTCGGCGTCGTCTGGGCTGGAGCTGCAGTCGCCTGCGGCAGCAGCGCGGCAAGTGGGTTTTGAGCGGCACCCAGTGGGTTGGGCGTTTGGCTCTGACTCTGAGGTTGCACCAAGGCAGGGTTCTGGGCGACATTACTGAGGGCGGCAAATGGCGCCATGGCTCCCGCAGCAAAAGGGTTTACGCCAGCGTGCCCATTCGCGGCCGGCTCTACGGAGGACACCGGCTGGGAAGCTGCACCTTGCGGCTGGCTTAACGCGCTAAGCGGGCTAGTCTGGGCTGGGACCGCGGGCGCAGGAGGTGCCGCAGTGTTTTGCTTGGCCATGTCGGCCAGCGCTTTCAGAATACTGGACGTGTCGGGCGCAGACTGAGGTGTCCCCGAAGACGGAGCACCGTTGGCCTGAGCCTGCTGTTGCGCACCTCCGAACAAGTTAGAATTAGGCGCCGGTGATCCTTCCGGAGTGGTCGATTCAACATCTATGACAGCACGATCAGATCTATTGTTCCAACCGCGGTTTGAGGGGCAATCCGGCATGGATAGGCGGTACAATGCATGCAGGATTGTGAAGAAAGGAGGGGGGGGGGGGGGGGGGAAAAAAGCTTACTCTGTGCGGGCGCCTTTTTTTTTTCTTTGAAGGACGCGAGCATGGGGGCCGGAAACGTGTAGCCACGTTCCCAGATATCAACCAGTTTCCTGATTTTTTCCTATATGAAAAGAAAATGAGATACGTAAGTCGGACTATCCGGCACAGCATGAACGAGCAAGAAGCTAGCAAGGATGAGGCATAGTCTATGCAATAGGCAGGGGTTATAACGCGGGAGATACGGAGATCCAGTTCTAAAGAAGCCAGTGTGAGACCGCTGAAGAGCAGTCGACCACCGCGACCTATCTGGCCTAGGCATACCCGCAAACCTGGAGAGAATCTGGCGGAATGGTGTAAATTGCGTCTAGTCAAGCGTACCTTTTGATCTTCGGGCGCATTGTTTATGATATCCGTCATCAAGACGGGGAGTAATTCCGTCACTCTGTTAACACCAGCGGCGAAGGTGCCATCCGGAGCGGCGCTCCCAGAGGGTTGGCCCTGTTTGCGTGCTGCTTCTACCCATTGTCGAGTTACAGAGTCTACGACATAGAGTACGCCCAACTTGTGTGTTCCCGGTGCCTTTTTGAAATGGGTGTAGATCTTTTGGATGAGGACGGATTCGTTCTGCGTACAGATGACTGGTTAGCAAATGGCTCGACTAGAACGATACCAGAGGTAAAGGGGACTGTCATACCTGGACATTCGCAGTGCACAGCGACGTGATACTGTTGATCTTAGAGCCCGAAACACCAGGAGGTTTAAGGGCCAGCATAGACTGGAGGTAGTTATCCAGTTCTGCTACAGCAGAAGACATGGTTGGTAGTGTGGATTATGGGAATAAGCAGTGAAAAATCTTCTTTTGGTCTTTGCGACGCCAGTACAGGGACACTCGGTCGAGGTCCCAGAGTGCTTGCAGTGAACGATGACTATCAGTTTCAGGTAGAAAAGAAAGGATACCCAACGAGTCGAATCTACTGGGCGATCCAGTACTGGCAACAAGGGAGAAGAAAGATTTTCGAGGTGCTTAAGAAAGGTATCAGAGTTCCCACGAAGCTGAAAATAACGTCTTAAGCGGACTTCTGGCCGTATCACTACGGACTCCACGAGCGTACTCTGGCGACCAGGGGCTCTCCCGCCTACAGCTGGAACACAGCCAAGCGATCGTGTCCAGGGCCTTTGCGACTCCAAGCGAGTACGTGTACAAGGTGTTTTCCAAGGGAAAAGAGCGTCCGACAGCAGAAAGAGGTGAGGTAGGCGATTACAGAACGGAGAGAAGAAGGTCGGCGAGAGGTGTGTGATGAAAAAGTGATGGAAAGAAGAGTTGGTGGTGGTTGAAAGAGTTGAAGAGGAAGAGGAGAAAAGAGGAGGTTGAAGGGGAAAGAAAGGGAACCTTAGTCAGATGAGGCCACCAAAGGGAGGAAAAAAAACCTAAATGGACGCTAGGCTGAAAGGGGAAATCAACCAGCCCTGGTTTCTGCCTGAGGCATATACGAGATTGATGAATTTCACGTGATTTCACGTGATTCTCAACGGATCTCTGTGACATAAGCGTTCTCGGTGAGTCGAATCTGGCAACGTCCTCCGTGTACATTACTCCAAGGGTAGAATCGGTAGAAGCCTCCTTAAGGTAACCAAAAATCGTATCAGATGTATCACATGTGTATCGGATATGGGTATTTTTGATTCAAATTAGCAAACACAGTCTTCCTCAACTGTTGAGATGTTCCACCAAGGCGGTGACGACTGGCGATTGCAGTGAGACAATCCCCTTTAGTCTTAGGGCGACATGAATCAGTCGGAGGTTCAAATTCGGACCGGAGTAGCTACGTAGGCAGTTTGCATGCTCTGAGTACTGAGCTTTGTACTATTTATCTTTATTTCCGGAGAATGTCGGCCACCGTGCCATCCCTCTGTACAAATTAGGTATAGGTATATGGATAACATCCTAAATGAGGTCATATCTTTGTACCTAGGTATTCGGGTGGCGGGCCAAAGGACGGGAGAAAGAGAACGACTTGCCGACGTCACTAGCCATGCTCTCTCCGTTTACGGACGGCACGGGCGCCGAGATCGTCAACCAAGGGCCGCGATGACCGCATTCTGAATGCGGGATATGGAAGAGGGAGGGATTAATTCAATCCCAATATATAATATAGGTATAACAGATAGGGCTGAATTATTAGATAGGGCATCATAAAGAAAAGAAGAAGAAAAAAAAATGGAAAATGGAAAAATTTTCACAGGATTGAAAACCATCTGGATAAATTGCACAAAAAAAAAAGTAGGACAAATTAATTACTTGTTCCGCGAAACGGAATTTGGCGGGTACGGGGACAAACACAACCCAAAACATGTTCAAGCTGCCGATTTTCTCTCGGTAGCCCGGACAGCCCGGGGCCACGGGCCTGCCGTTACCATACTGTACCGATTTCCGCCATTGCCAGCCCGCCTCGCCGATCGTTACCGTACAGTCCGCGTACCGGCTGTATGGTGACGGTCAGATGGAAAAGAAAAAAGCGACCGCAAAAGAGCTTCTCCCGCGATTTGATCCTTCTTCCTCTCTTCTCTTCCCTTTCCCCCCTTTGTTGTGTCCTTGTTATACCCTCCTCTCCTCTCTTCCATCCTTCCCTTCAAACAGTCTATCTTTTTTAGACTCTTGTTGGATTCGAAATGGCTGCCTCTCTCAGACTCGGAACTTCTGCCCTTCGCTCTACCACCTTGGCTGGAAAGCCGGTGGTGCAGTCCGCTGCCTTCAATGGCCTGCGCTGCTACTCCAGCAAGGCCAAGGTACGTCGTCATACCACCTAAACGCCCGCGGTCCCAGCCTGAGATCCCGGCTAATAATGCTTCTTCGTCATGATATAGTCCTTGAAGGAGACCTTCGCCGACAAGCTCCCCGGTGAGATCGAGAAGGTCAAGAAGCTTCGCAAGTATGTCCTCTGACCGGCGCAAGGGGGTCGCATCAACAATGGCTAACCACGGAGTGGGATAGGGAGTACGGCAACAAGGTCATTGGCGAGGTCACCCTCGACCAGGCCTATGGTGGTGCTCGTGGTATCAAGTGCCTCGTGTGGGAGGTGAGTTACCGCAACGCTCTCACATGGTAGAGGGAAGGGAAGACAACTAACATCCGTCCAGGGTTCCGTCCTCGACTCTGAGGAGGGTATCCGTTTCCGTGGCCGTACCGTAAGTCCCGAGTGTCTTGGCTGCGTTTATAGTTCATGAACTCACCGCGGTTAGATCCCCGAGTGCCAGGAGCTTCTCCCCAAGGCCCCCGGTGGCCAGGAGCCTCTGCCCGAAGGTATGATTGTTGAGAGTGTTGGACCCAGCATTGCGGCGCTGACACGTTCACAGGTCTCTTCTGGCTGCTCCTGACCGGTGAGATCCCCTCGGAGCAGCAGGTCCGTGACCTGTCCGCCGAGTGGGCTGCTCGCTCCGACCTCCCCAAGTTCATTGAGGAGCTCATCGACCGCTGCCCCAGCACCCTTCACCCCATGGCCCAGTTCTCTCTTGCCGTCACCGCTCTTGAGCACGAGTCCGCCTTCGCCAAGGCCTATGCCAAGGGTATCAACAAGAAGGACTACTGGAACTACACCTACGAGGACTCCATGGACCTCATCGCCAAGCTGCCCACCATTGCCGCCAAGATCTACCGCAACGTCTTCAAGGACGGCAAGGTCGCCGCTATCCAGAAGGACAAGGATTACTCCTTCAACTTGGCCAACCAGCTCGGCTTTGGCGACAACAACGACTTCGTTGAGCTCATGCGTCTCTACCTGACCATCCACTCTGACCACGAGGGTGGTAACGTCAGCGCTCACACTACCCACCTTGTCGGTAGCGCTCTCAGCTCTCCCATGCTCTCCCTGGCCGCTGGTCTGAACGGTCTGGCTGGTCCTCTCCACGGATTGTAAGTCGTCTGGTGGATTGACGAAGTTGCGCTGGTGCTAATCAATTGACAACAGGGCCAACCAGGAGGTTCTGAACTGGCTCACCAAGATGAAGCAGGCCATTGGCAACGACCTCAGCGACCAGGCCATCAAGGACTACCTCTGGTCCACCCTGAACGCCGGTCAGGTCGTTCCCGGATACGGTCACGCCGTTCTGCGTAAGACCGATCCCCGTTACGTGTCTCAGCGCGAGTTCGCTCTTCGCAAGCTCCCCGATGACCCCATGTTCAAGCTTGTCAGCCAGGTCTACAAGATCGCCCCTGGCGTTCTGACCGAGCACGGCAAGACCAAGAACCCCTTCCCCAACGTGGATGCCGTAAGTGTTTCTGGACGACGTTTCGTTGACACATGTGATACTGACGGGTTGGCAGCACTCTGGTGTTCTCCTCCAGTACTATGGCCTGACTGAGGCCAACTACTACACCGTCCTGTTCGGTGTGTCCCGTGCCCTGGGTGTCCTGCCCCAGCTGATCATCGACCGCGCCCTGGGTATGCCCATTGAGCGCCCCAAGTCGTTCAGCACCGAGGCCTACGCCAAGCTGGTTGGCGCTAAGCTGTAAAGGGGTTGAATGAATGAGGCGAAAAAGGGTATTTTAACATTTCTTCACGAATCGAGCTCACCATCCTGTATTATTTGTTTTATATTGGGTTGAAATATTTTCCTTGATCTAGACTGGGAACTGTCGAGTGTTGGGGGTTTGTTCGATAATGTATGATAGGACTTGGTTCGAGCGGGCCTTGTAACAGCACTTCAATTCCATGTCATATTCCAATGATTGTTGCTTGGAGGTGGTTTAATTGATTTCACGTGGTACGTGTAAGGGGAACATCAGGATCAGTAAGGCGCTGATGAAGGGATTTGGAAAGAGACTACTCTAATCTCGGAGTCGTCAATGGGAACCTAGCCTCGGTTGATGCAAGGACTACGTATACTCCGTAGATCTACGGAGGACGGGACTGATCCTGGACGGGGACAACTGGAGATACTCCGAAAGGAAGTCCGAGATAAGTCACTAGTAAAAGGGAATTAACGTTGGGGGAGCCGGTTTGCTCCGTGGATTCAACTGGAGGGCCTCGGGCCAACCACACCGCCCAGTCTGTCCACATCGGGTTTAGCGCGTCCCCAATCTCCGGCGGTCTCTGCTATTATTGTTTTTCAGGGAGGAGAACAACGCAGCAGCCTCAGGAACGCTACTATCCAACAGACACTTCCATCTCTTCGGTGAGTCTCACCCCCGTCCCTTTTTCTTTCCTGCATACTTCTCTCTCTTTTCATCTTCTTCTCTTCTCTTCCACTCGCATCCCCAAGTCCCAACTCTCTCAAGTCCCCTTCGCTCCTCTGAAGTCTTCATCACAGCCTTCCGAAAGCTTTCCCCACATCTCCATCTACATCTCCCTTATCTACCTCCCCCTTCGCAACACCTCTCGACGCACCCTATTCTGGTCGTGTCGTACTCCCATCGCTCTCTTCTTTCTTTCTCGTGATCCCTTAGGCGACGAAGCCCCCTAATCCCTTGGTCAGGGCCCCTTTCAGCGCTCCCCAAGGTTCTAAGATGTCTACCGCTCCCGCTGATATGGCCACCACCGGCCGGAAGCTCGAAAAGAAGCCTGTCAAGTTCAGCAACCTGTTGCGTACGTGTCCTCCCTCTTGGATAACGTGAGGTGCACCGTTCTAATCGTTCTGTATACAGTGGGCGCAGGATTGAACTTGTTCGAGTAAGTCCCCCACCGTCCACCCCCATAACCGATCCAGACCGAATCATGCTGACTTGCGCACCAGGGTCACCTCCTTGGGTCAGGTACGATTTTCTACGTTCATTTAAAGCCCCGACCTCGCTGACACTCATACATAGCCGCTGGAAGTGATCAAGACGACCATGGCCGCCAACCGGGGCGACAGCTTCGCCGGAGCTATGGCTCGGATTTGGGGTCGTGGCGGGATCCTCGGTTGTAAGTGGTCCCATTTCTCCCTCTTGCCCCCTCGGCCTAGTCCCCGAGCCCCCAAACGCCTGTGGGGTACCGGAGCTGACCCGGAATCATCGTCACAGACTACCAAGGTCTCATTCCGTGGGCCTGGATTGAGGCCTCCACCAAAGGCGCTGTCCTTCTCTTCGTCGCGTCTGAGGCGGAGTACTACGCGAAGCTGTTCGGTGCCCCCGACTTCCTCGCTGGTATTTCCGGTGGTATGGCGGGTGGTGTGGCTCAGGCCTACGCTACCATGGGCTTCTGTACTTGTATGAAGACGGTGGAGATCACCAAGCACAAGATGGCCGCCCAGGGTGTCAAGCCCCCCAGCACCTTCGCTACCTTCATGGACATCTACCGCAAGGAGGGTATTCGTGGTATCAACCGCGGTGTCAATGCCGTCGCCATCCGCCAGACGACCAACTGGGGCTCTCGGTTCGGTCTCTCCCGCTTGGCGGAAACTGCCATCCGCCGCGTGACCGGCAAGGAGGAGGGCGAGAAGCTGGGCGCTATGGAGAAGGTCCTGGCCTCCGGTCTGGGTGGTGGTCTGTCCGCCTGGAACCAGCCCATTGAGGTCATCCGTGTCGAGATGCAAAGCAAGACCGAAGACCCCAACCGTCCGAAGAACCTGACGGTCGGCAAGGCCTTCAAGTACATCTACGAGACCAACGGTGTCAAGGGTCTCTACCGTGGTGTGACGCCCCGTATCGGACTGGGAATCTGGCAGACGGTGTGCATGGTGGCTCTTGGTGACATGTGAGTTTTCCCTTTTCCCCTTCCCCGATTCCTTCACGGGCGATCCGCCCGTGACGGAGGAGGTGGTGGTTTGACAGCCATTACCCGCGATCCTTCATGTGATAACCGAGGAGTGAACTCGAGCTAACGTGTGGGTCTCCGTTGCACCGAATAGGGCCAAGGAGGCAGTCGAAAAACTGACCGGCGAGAAAGTCACTGCTAAGCACTAGAGAAGGTTTGAGATACCCTTCTGCCATGCACGACCTGTGTGGGTGAATGAGTAGATTGTGAACATATCGTGTATTATTGTCCTTGATGGGAGAAGAGCCTTGGGTGATAAGGATGAAGACAAAACCTCCGGTTGTTCATGCTATCCGGAATAGAGAATAACTAGAGTAATGATTTACTTGTTATCTTGTACACTATGAACTACTCCGTACAGCTTGTTGTTAGTCGGGGGCTGCGTCTTCCCAATTTACCACGTAGACAGTTAGCAGTTCTCTTCATGACCGTCAGCTCTCTACAAGGTCAATCCAACTCCGAGGTGGTCTGTCGCAATAGGCACCGGCCTTAGCATTGCAGATCAAACCATATGAGTAGCTTTCGGTCCTCTGAACTGACATCATTGAACAGACAGGTCAATCGGAAAATTGGAGCTACTCCGATCCTCGGAGTATTCCTTACTAACAAAGGCTATGCGGTTATATGCCTCCAAACCTCGATCTACCTATGAGGTGGGTTTCGTCGGTCTAATTATTCATTGCGACGCGGGCGCGGTGCTCTTAGGAAATCCAATAAGTGAACTGAGTGATTCGAGGTGCGCGAAATATATACATGAAAGACTTGGTTGATTGCAGTAGGTCTAGACACCCATTCCTAGGGACTATTGTAGATATGTCTATCTGGTACTTGGACATGTTAGCGCCACACGCTACATTATTCTCTACAGACCGAGCCCAGGCTCTTATGGCTCGAGAAATGCTCATAACAGAACAACGTCCCTACGACCAGTGGAACAAGACAGTATATAAGGTACACTTGTATTACAGACACACAACTACACCCACATCACAAAAGAGAAGAAAATATCTGCGAAGGTCGATCTAGACACATGAGAAGGGGCGACGCTTTTTCCAAGTCACTCTAGTATGTATTGTATACATTTTACACGGTCAGACCGAGGTCCTCGCCGAAGGGAAGCTGGTGGAGATCTCCAACAGCGGCGACGGAAGCCTTGCCGGAGAGGATAGACTTGGCGGCCTGTGAAGAGTATTAGCGATGAGTTCTGATTGTGAAAGAATTATAACAAAAAACTTACATCCTTGACCTGGGCCTCGGTGACGGCGTCGAAGCTCTGGGCAACCTCGCTGAGCTGGGCGATCTTGCCGGTGTTAAGGAGAGCAGAGCCGGTAGCCTCCAGACCGGTAGAGAGGGTCTCGGCGGCCTCGAGGGCACGGAACTTGGCGAGGGCGGTGGCCTTCTTGACATCCTCGGCGGCGACCTCACCCGCAGCGGCCTTCTTGAGAACGTCGACGACGTTCTTGCTGGCGGCGGCGACCTGGTCGGCCTGGCCGGAGAGGCTGACGGAGAGCAGACCGGCGTCGGAGTAGGAGAGGTTCTGGGTCGAGGCACGGAGCTGAGAGAAGCCCTGGGTAGCCTTGGACAGGAGGGTGAAGCCAGGAGTCCACTTGATGGTGGACTCACCACCCAGGAGAGCTGCGAGGACGGAAGCCTCGGGCTTGTAGCCGGAGGCACCGAAGGCGCTGGAGCCAGGGAAGGCAATCACAACGGCGTTGCCGGCCTTGGAAGAGATACGCTGCTCACCACCGTAGTACTTGGAGGCGGCAGACTGGAGACCACCGGCGCTGGGGAGCTCCTTAAAGAACTGACCCACCCACTTGGAGAGCTCAGCCGAGTTGGAACCGGTGCCAACGAGGGCAACGTTAGACTTGGAGAACGCCTTCTGAGCGTACTCGGCGATGGCGTCGGCGGAAAGGTACTTCTCGAAGGGCATGTTGGTGGAGGTAGTAATGCTAGCTCCCAGACCCTGGTGGAAAGCCACGGCGTGGGCAGCATCAAGAGCCTGAGCCTCGGGGCTGGCGGCGAAAGCCTGCTGTCTGTACTTAAGGTGCTTGATCACGATCTCCTGCAACTCGTGGACTGGAAAGCCGTGTCAGCATCGAAATATTAATTTGATATGTGCCATCACTGGTGATACGGCACGGCTGTCTGTCCAACTTACCAGCGAACTTGGACTGAGAAGCAACCTCGGCGAGCAGCTCCACAAAGTAGGGGAGGTCGTTGGCGAGGTACTTGGCCGTGAGGACGACATTTTCGCGAGAGTGTGTCGAGGAAACTTCACCGCCCAGCAGTTCAACCTCCCGAGTGATCCGCAATCCTGAGCGCTTGAGGGTAGACTGTCCATTGGAAGAGTCATGAGTCAGAGTTGATTGAAACGGATAGAGTAGAGCCGATGAGAGCGGCCATTGGGACAGTAGCGACTCACCTTGAAGGCGAACTCGTCGAGGGCCTCGGCGAAGCCAGGGAAGGGCTGGTAACGGGAACCGGCCTTTGCAACCAACGCCAGGGTGCCGGTAGGACCAGCGGTCTCTCTGTTGGCAACCTTCACACCAGAAGACTCAGAAACGTCAAACTGAGTGGCAGAGGCCATGCCACGGCGGCCACTGGCGGCGGTGACAGAGCACTGCTTCTGGAGCGCACGGGGCGCATTGCGGGCGAAAGAGGACCGCGACAGCATCATCGCATGTGTGGACAGACCGATTGAAGGAGGAGAGGAAGAGTAGAAGGAAGCCTGCAAGGCTTGACGACAATTGAGGGGGTGGTGTGGCGGAAGAGAGCAGGAGAATGCCGCTGGCTGTCGACGGGACGGGATGGAAACGATGTCTGAAAAGCTTCAAGATGCCGGGCGGCCTTGATTACTCGCCTCCTGATTGGCCCGCATCGCGAGTGCGGGCGGAACCGGCTTTTCCTCCTCCTCCGGGTCACGTGGAACCACATGACCACGACCCCACGTGAGCCGGCGCCGAAATAATGCTGCTCGATAAGCTTCAAAAAAATACCCTGAGATTCCGATACAGTCATCCTTCCCTTCGTCTCCGGATTGCGGTCGTTGTGCGTCCCCTTCCTCATGTCCCCTTCTCGGTGACAATCATCCCTTCTTCTAGAGAATTGAACCGGCCCGGCGTTCTCTAGAAGCGCAACCATGGCTACGCAGGTATGATCAGTGATCGTCCCCTCATCTCTCCCCTCGCTGCAATTGCGACTCTAACATGTCTCAGTATATTGCGGAGCTATGTACGCTCCTAGTAGAAGACAACTTTGGGGAGCTTTTTGGGGTATGTGTACCTTCCAATGTCTTCTCTCGTCCTACCTTTCTTTGACTCTTTCCCTCCGCCCCTCCCCCTCACTGCAAACTAACTCTCATGCTCCCCAGCATATCTTCGCAACCCTCATCCGCTATGACCGCCTCACTCTCCCACGCCTGAGATTATATTCCAAACTGCCTGATGCCCAGCTCCGCCGAGGGCTGGCTGCCATGGTTCAGCAGCACCTTGTCTACCATTACACGTCCTACGAAGAAGGCGTTACGTATTATGAACCGAACCTCCAGTCCGCATACTATCTCATCCGCGCCGGGAAAATCCTAGAATTCATCGAAGAACGACTGGGCAAATATGCCGCAACGGTCATGTCGACAATCATGTTCCTCGGTCATGCTCAAGTCAGCTACCTCGAAACCCTCCCAGAGCTGCAGCCGCAGGCCCCGACCGCCGTCAACGGAAACCATGAACAACCGGAAAAGGAGATCGAAGGCGAAGGGGTCGAAGGTGAGGGAATTGAAGAAGAGGGGCACACCAACGGCGTCAACGGTGAAGAGGCTTTGGAAGAGCAAGAAGAACAAGCGCAACCGTTCCTCCTTCATCCCACCCTGAAGGCGCTCGCAGCCCACGGTTACATACATCGTGTCCGGGAGGCCCACTTCCAAAGCTATGCGGATAACGTCTTGGATTGCGAGCGGACGATCAAGGCCAGAGCTGACATCAAGCAAATGAAGGGAAAGAAGCTCGAGGAAACTGTTCTCGAACTGACAGCCGAAATGCTCCGGGAACGCCTGGACGGGGATCTCACACACGGCCTTGTCTTTAACGGTGTTCCGCGCGGCGCTAAGCGACGACGTGGCCCGGGTGGTGCGGAGAGATCCAACAAAAAAGCACGGGTGGACTACGTCGCCGTCGATGAAGACGAGGAAGAGGAGGAGGAGAATGAATGGTCGGAGGACGAAATGGGGGGTGATAACATTCCTATGGAGGTAAACGGCTCTACTTCCTCTTCCCGACTACCGGACTCACCATTTTATCAAACAGAGTGGAATCACCGTCCGAGTCAATTACGAAAAGCTCGACGTCGCGCTCCGCAACCGTCGATTTCTCGAGCTCGCCGAGCAGGATTGTTCCGCTGCCACGATTCACGTCTACGAATGTCTCCTGCGACGCATCGAATACAAAACCAAACAGTGCCGGGATACCCCCGAAATCCCCCGCGAAGGCGAAGAAGGCAAGCAGTTCGCTGCCCCGATTAGTTTGGCCGCCATCGCCGAAGACGTCGACCCCTCGGTGGACCTGGCCGGGTCAATAGGCCCCATGGATCCTTCCCAGGCCGTCAACCGGCGCGGAAAGCGTCCGTTGGACGACGGCGTGAACGGCACGCACCACGACGGCCCTAACGGCGCCTCCTCTGACGGCAACCGGATCTACGACGTCGGGCAACACCTGGCCCTTCTTTCCGAGCCGCCGCACAACCTCACCGAGAAGAAAGTGGTGGCCAACCTCCCCTCGTGGACGGTGGAATTCCGAAGCCTCGCTTGTAAGCTCCGTCATCTGGAATTGGAGCGGATGATTGAGGCGCGATACGGCGATGTCGCACTCCGAGTGGTTCGCGTGCTGCATGCCAAAGGCAAACTGGACGAGAAGCGTCTCCAGGAAATCAGCCTCCTCCCCTTTAGGGTTCTCCGTCAAGTACTGGCTAGCATGCAAGCGGGCGGGTTTGTTGATCTACAGGAAGTTCCTCGAGACGCACAGCGCCAGCCCTCCCGTACCATCTACCTGTGGTTCTACGACCCTGATCGCACGCGCGCTAGTATCTTAGAGGACACATACAAATCAATGTCCCGGTGTCTACAGCGGCTGCGGTTCGAACGCAACCGGCTCAAGGAGTTCCTCGAAAAGACTGAACGCAGCGATGTCAAGGGGAACGAAGAGCGATATCTGTCCGAGGCCGAGCTGACGTTACTGGAGCAGTGGAGGGCCAAGGAGGCGTTGCTGCTGGGGGAAGTCGCTCGGTTGGACGAGATGGTGGCTGTGATGCGGGATTATTGATTGGGGAGACCATTTAATGAGCGAACTTTGGAAATGTAAAAGTATCATTACGCGTGCATCTTTCATGGCGCATCTTGGCTTGAGGATGCGCCCAATATCATAGCGACATTTGTTTACCACTGTACGGAGGTTGACCTGATGAAGATCGATGATTGATTGTACTATCCACAAACAATTGCGTCGTAGACGCGCAGCCATTACGTAGATAATAGAATATCTGTAGAGAACTAAGAGACAAGCAGCAAATTCGAAGCGATCTGAACAATCTTATCCACAAAGCTCCTCCTCCAATAACGCCCTGACAAACAGGATCAACCAGTAAACCGTTTTCGACCAATTCGAAAGAATACAGCACAAGAACCAGCAACACCAAGCAAGAAAAAGACGAGTGCCACACGTAGAAGAACATTGCTCAAATACAGAAACACAGCCACCCATCTCCCATCCATCTAAACCAATCCTTGTAAACTTTGTATATCGAGAAGAGAAATCAAGGAATCAGATGCATCCCGTACATCTAAGCACCACTGGGGATGTTCTTATCTGTCGTAAAGCATATCACGTATCATCGGACTTTGTCTCCTGGTATCCGAGGCGGAACCAAGCGTGGCTCCAAGGCATCCCTACGAGCTTTCAATCGCAGAGCCGTTGGTCTTTGTCTCCGTAGCCTTGGCCATTTCGTCGCTCGGCTTTTTGGCTTGCTCATTTCCTGGGTCTTTCGATTGGGAACCGGTCGCCGCAGAGGGATCCTTGGCGAGACGTGCCTCGGCAGCGTCCAGCTTGCCTTTGGTCTCTGCGAGCTCTTTCTTCAGTGCCTTGATGTAATCAATGGCCATTTCGACGGTGCTCGCTTTGCTGATCTGCTGGTTTGCAGACTTCTCCTTCTCCTTTTCGCCATTCTTCGGGGTGCTTCCGGCCTCCTTGGCGTTCTTCAGCTGGACGAAGGCTGGCGGGATGAGAGACTCGATCTCCTTGAGAGCATTGTTGATACGGTTTCGACGACCTTGTTCCGCGAGTTTGTGGTTGGTCCGTTTCGAACTCAGGTTCTCCGCAAGGGTCTCGGGGTATGAAACACCGGGAAGAAGCGTTCCATCCAAGATGTGCTGGTAGTTGGACTTGGAAGCCAGGTAGAGTGCGGAGGTTTCGCTTGAAATGCCTATTTAGAGGGGTTAGCGCAATTCATTTGCGGAATAGACATTGAGCGCGGGAACTTACTATCTCCACGGACCAACGGCTGTATGTTAGGGCTAATTTTCGGCCGTAGATTGGGACTTGGCTGTGCAGAGCTAAGACTCTGTCGCTTTCTGCCGATGGGCCCAAGCTTGGGGGTGTCGGATTTCCTGCCCACTGGCCCACTAGGGGACGGCATTGCGAGGGTGCGGGGGCTGGGGGCCGTCGCCGACCTGGCTTCTACGGTAGGAGTCCCATTGCCAGGCGTGATAGCCGGCGATGATGGGTTCTGATCCCGCAGACTTGTGTCAATGCGGGTCACCTGGGGTCGCGAGAGGTGGGTGGTCGGCGTAGCCGCCTCGGGAAGAACGACATCTTCCATGACATCGTCATGTGTTTCAGGCAGAGTGGGTGTGAATTGAGAGGCAGGCTGGCTAGTCGGTGTGGGCGGAGCGGGTTGCGACCGCTGAATGCGCATCAGCATGGCCGGGGTCGCCGGCTCACTGGTTCGTGACTGGGCAGACTGTGGCGCAATGGCCGGGGATTTGCGCGCTGGCGGAAGGGCTGGGGGAGGCATCAGAGGTTCCGAGAGGGGTTCCGGGGAGACTGAGTCCTGACCGGAGCTTTCATTGCTGCCGTATCGCAAGTTACTGGTCGAAGGATTCTTGGCCTTTCCGTTGGCCTGGTCCTGGCTCAGGCCGTTCAAAATTTCGTCGGAGTTGATGTTCAGGAGCGACTTCTTGCGAGTCTGAGGCCGGACCGAGGGGGATTGTTGTTTCTTGGCCCGACTGGAGAAGGTCTTGGTGGTGGACGGCCGTCGACGATGTTTCCGCATCAATCCCGGGGACGATGGGGCTGACGAAGTGGGAATGGCATTGTCCACTGGCGACGGAACGAACCCCATGTCGGACATCTGCGCCTGATGAAAGGGGTAGCCATTGGAGGCATTTTGGGCTTCGAGGGCGGGCGAGGTCAGGGGGGTGAAGTATTCCCCGGGGATGGTGTATTCTGGCAGTCGGAATTGCGACTCTAACGGGGTCATAGCTGGAGACACAAGGGGGGTGTAGAGAGCCTGAGTTGGAGCGGGAGCGTGCATTAGCGGATGCAGTTTGACGGGGACGTTGCGATGGGATGCGGCTTACCTGTTCCTCATTCATCCGCGCATAGCGGTCGTACATCTCATGGGAGTCGTCGACGCGCTGGGGGTAGGTGGCTGCGTTGCCCTGTAATTCAATGCTGTTGGGGGTAGGAGGAATCATGGGTTGGGAGTGAGGAATATAGGGCTGGGAGGTCGGTTGGTGATGCGACTGCTCCATCTGCGGTTGCGCGGAATGGTGTTTCTGCGGGTAGTAGGCCGGGGTCATGGGGGCGGCCGTGTAGGAGGGATCGACGGAGAAATCGCCCATGAGACGATTGTACGACACGGGATCGGTGTCCATGCGAACAAGATGTTGTTCCTGAGTCGCAGCGGCGGTGGAGCGCGGTGGAAGAGACTGATGCTGGTGGTCGGTCGGTCCGTGCTGCCCCTCGAGATCGGAGAATTGCATTCCAAACTCGAGGAAATGCGAGAAGTCTTCCTCCCCGGTGGAGGGCATCTCCGACCAGGCGAGGGAGGGATCTTGTTCCATGATTGGTTTCGACTGATCTATTTCTGCTTTTGGGTCGTCTTTTTCTTCCCCAGCGAAATGGAGGGAGGGAGGGCAGGGAAGATATCGGGTGTTCTGGTGAAGGAGCGACGAAAAGACGAACGATCAACTAGACGGATTACAATCCATGATGACGGGTTGGGAGATGAGGAGATGAAAGAGGAGAAGAGGTCTGGCGAGAAGAGAGGAGGATACGGGAGAAAAGAGAGAGACAGAGTGGTGGGAAGAGGAAGATGGATGGGGGTCTGAATCAGTGGTTCTCTTAGTGGGGAAGCAGCGGGGAGAAGAAAAGAATTCGGAGGCTTTTCTGTTCATGGCTTTCTATCTACTAGTTACTAGTAGTACTCCTACGGCGATTAATGCAGTCTAACTATTAGTGATGCTCTTATAAAATACCCTTTGTTTCTTCCCTCTTCCTCTGTTCTGCCCTCCCTCCTCTTCTCTGTCCTCCGTAGAGTCTTCATTTGGTGGCGAGTGGGATCGTCGACAGGAACCAGGGTCGTTCGTATCGTGAAGATTATTTCCGCGGCAGTTGCGCTTGCGACATTTCCTGGGTCAGGGTCTCTGGTTCGATCCCTGGTTGATTCTGGAGAGAATCATGACCGTCTCGTCTTCCTGACGGTCCAAGTCCCCCGAGTTTTGCCCGCAAAAACCACTAAGATTGTTCGGTCGTCTGCTCCGAGTCCATCCAACTAGTCTCTTTAGCCTCGCCTTCGCTTATTTTGGCGGCGGACGCTAGCCTGGTTCCACGTACTTTTGGCTCGCATCATGATGACTCGGTTTCAGACTCATTTCTGGCTGGTGGTAGTCGTACATAGGTCACTATATACATAGGTGGATGGAACCAGGTAGTATAAGTAGTGTATTGCTTATTCAGGATTTATGTAGATGATGACTCAGCTGGATACCCCTCGCAAGTCGCTCTACGTCAACGGCATCAGACGACCTTCGCCCGCAAGAGATGCCCATCTCTGCTCCCCTCCTCATGCTCATGTCCATCTCCATGTGCTTACCACTCCATCGAGCACCATGAGGCCTGTCCCCGACATCTCCGTCCCTAACTCCCGCAAAATCTCCAGCGACCATCACCACCAGCAGTGGATCGACCCCCGCAATACCGTCCCCACGAGCTTCTTTCTGTCCCACCGCTCGCCCGATCTCGACTCCGAGGTCCTCTCCCCGGGAGAGCCTGATGCATCCCACGACAGCATGTACGGGGTCGAAAGCCTGGCCGACACCACCAACCGGGCCAGTCTAATGTCCTCCTGGTGCGACTCCGAACAGTCCAGTCGCAAAGCCGATTCCGACCCTACGGGTCCGTCCGAACCGCAACAACCGCAGTCTCCCACCACCAAGTCGGACGGTGAAGAAGAGTCCGCGCCTTCGCGACCATTCGCTCGCCGCCATTCAACCATAAAACCCGTGGATTCCCTGCTTCACTCCAACCGTTCCGAGTCACCCTTGCCCATTCCCGATCTCCCGTCCCCGCGACCCTTCACTCCGCTGAATTTCAGCAATCTTGAAGATGCGCCGTCCTTGCCGAGTAGCCCCAAATCTATCTCCAATCAGTCCGCGAGAAATCTTGACGACATATCCATTGCCGACGATATGAGTAGTCAGGCGGTGGCATCCGGAGAGGAGGACAATGAGTCCCGTCCGGTCCCCGACCTCGGCTCCGACAACTCCTCTCAGTTGATCATGCCCATGATCAAGATGCCGAGTCGGAGACCGTTTACTGACCATGGGAAAGCATTGGGTCGGCTGAAATTACTCATTGCGGGCGTGTCAGGTAAGCTTTCGTTGACCCATCTTGCGGGAAATATATACTGACAAGAGCATAGGCTCGGGGAAAACGTCCCTCCTCAAATCCATCGTCCAAGAATGCGAGGATATCGTGCATGTCGACTCTTTGCCTTCCATCCCCCTCTCACTGCAATCTCGGCACTCCCGGCCCTCGCGGTCATCCCGGCCGCACGACATGCCAACGGTGGTTTCGGAAATCTACGCCAGCACCAAACCGTATCCCCCATGGTGGTCTGATCTGGAAGACTCCCGGGTCCTGCGAAGAAGGAAGAGTACCGGAGATGTGGTTCTCGAACGGAACATCTGCTTCGTGGACACTCCGAAAACGACGTTGAGTCGTGCTGGACAGACCGACGCTGTTCTTCAGTATATCCGCCAGCAACTCCTCCGCGCCACCACCTCCCTTCATTCCTTCAACCACGATTTCCAGAACTTGCTCGCCGGTAATGGTGGGGCTCAAGTCGATGCAGTTCTATACCTCATCTCCGAAGACACTCTCCCATCTGACATCGACTGCATTCGCAAGCTCTGCGACTGGACCAGCGTGGTCCCAGTCATATCAAAGTCAGACCTCCTCACGGCCGACCAAATATCCGCCTTGAAATCCATCTTCCATAATAAGGCACACGATGCGGGGATTTCACCCTTCCTCTTCGGCGGCTCCGGCGCCCAGATGCCGTTTGCCGTATCATCTGCCAAGTCAACCGATGATGACGAAATGGACGCGAGCACTCTAATGAGTCCAGACTACGTCCAGCCGCTTGTACCTTCAGAACTACCCTTACTAGTCCAGAAACTCTTCGACCGCGAAAACATGGCCTGGATCCGACATTCCACTGCCAAAAAACTCTCCCAGCGTCAGCAAGACCAAGCCACCCGACGTCAGGGCGTCCCACAAACCAGTCTCCTCTCCCTTGCCCCCGGCTCCCGTAATCATTCCCCGGGGTACACAATGGCCCGCATCTCCGATTACACCCGACACGAAGAGAAAGAGGCCCGGCTGCACCTGGCGAAGTGGGCTTCCGACCTGCAGCAAAGCCTCCAGAACGAAAGAGAGCGGTACGCCGCGCTAGCCCGGGGCGAGCGCGCCGTCTGGCTGACCGAGCGACTGGGTGAGTGCGTCGTCGACGGATCTCTCGTTCCCATCACTCAAACCCCCGGCTTCTCGGGTCTACGGGGACCCGTGGACAAAGCCGGTGGAAACAGCGTCGTCGTCCGAATGCAACAACACGGCCAGCAGGTGGGATACCAGGTCGCCCGGATCAGTCCGCACGACCCGCTGGGTCTCGTCCAGTGGTCCGAGGATCTCAGACGACGCGGCTGGGCCATTGTCCAGATCGTGGGCAGTTTTGGAGTCGTCGGGGGTCTGGCCCTGTGGCTTGCAAAGACCTGGGGGTTTCCCTCACGCAGTCTCTCGGACTGGAAATTCGACTGGTATGGGGGTAGTGATTAGTGAGCTCACAGGGTCACTGGATATGTCGAAAGAGGATGAATTCGCTGGACCGGATCCACGCAACTTGTCCTGGTGATGATGGCGTCCTGGGTAACGCTGCTGTTGTCGATAACTTGTTTCTCACATATTTTTTTGCACTTTCGCATCGTAAGGGGTTTGCCGTCAATCTTTCATGTTTAACGAGATTCTATTTCATGTACGACCCTGGCGTTTCTGACTTCGTCTTGGTTATCTCCTCCCTTATATCTGGAGTTTGCCTTTCCTGCACTAGTGGCGTCCCGATTTCTCAACAGTGATCATTGAACCATAATTAACAGCCAGGAATCCATACATCTATCTGACAGTTGCTACGCGTATAGCTACGTAGAGTGAGCTGCCATCTGCTGTTCACCCAGCCCGTGACAGCTAAAGAATAAAGCATACATACACTTCTATTGGTATTACTACGACCGAAAGATCAACGAAGAAGATTTAATTCAGTAATCTACCATCTCAGACCGGACGAGCAGGTCCAAACCCGCTATCCGACCCGAGAGAACCGAGAAAAAACGCTCGCAACGCCGAAAGTCCCGTTTTAATCATGGCAACCATCAGACAGAGATCGCAAACAGACCGAACGCACAGCGGGTAGTTTGCCCGGTCCGCAAGCAATCCCAGACCGATCACAGGATATTGACAAGATACCGAGAGCCGAATGAAGTCGTAAAAGCATTGATCTTCGTTTCCATCCTAATTAAAGGTAAAAAAGAACAAAAGAAATAGAGACATTAAAGAAACAGCCATGTAAAAGAAACACATCAAATCGTTTAGTCAACCTCCTCCATGGAGGACTCGCCGGTAGCGGCAGCGGCGGGAGCCTCCTCGGCGGCCTTCTCCTCGGCAGTCTCGGCCTCCTCGTCGACGTTCAGACCGAGGGAGACCAGCTTGTGGATACGCTCGGCGAAGCTGGCGGGCTCCTCGATGGTGAAGCCGGACACCAGGAGGGAGGTCTCGAAGAGGAGCTGGGTGATGGACTTGACGGTGCGGTCGCTCTCACCATCGGTCTCAACCTTCTTCTTGAGCTCCTTGATGATGGGGGACTTGGGGGAGATCTCAAAGGTCTTCTTGGAGGACATGTAGGAGCTCATGGAAGTGTCACGAAGGGCCTGGGCCTTCATGATACGCTCCATGTTGGCGGACCAACCGAACTGGCCGGTACGGATGGCGCAGGGAGAGCCGATGAGCTTGTGGGAGACAACGACCTTCTCGACCTTGTCGCCGAGGATGTTCTTGAGGCTCTTGGCGAGACCCTCGAACTCCTTCTCCTCCTTCTCACGCTCGGCCTTCTCCTCCTCAGACTCCTCAAGCTCGAAGTCCTTGGTGATGTCGACCAGCTTCTTGCCATCGAACTCCTTCAGCTGAGTGAAGGCGTACTCATCAATGGGGTCAACCAGGTACAGAACCTCAAAGTTCTTCTGCTTGAGGCTGTCCAGGAAGGGAGACTTGGCGACGGCCTTGATGGACTCGCCGGTGATGTAGTAGATCTGCTTCTGGTGCTCCTGCATGCGGGTGACGTAGTCGGTGAGGGAGGTGGCCTCGTCACCGGACTTGGTGGACTGGTAGCGGAGCAGCTTGGCGAGGGTGGAGCGGTTCTGGGCGTCCTCGTGGATACCGAGCTTGATGTTCTTGCTGAAGGCAGAGTAGAACTTGTCGAACTGCTCACGGTCCTCGGCGATCTCGGTGAAGAGCTCGAGGGTCTTCTTGACAATGTTCTTCTTGATGACCTTCATGATCTTGTTCTGCTGCAGGGTCTCACGAGACAGGTTAAGAGGCAGATCCTCAGAGTCGACGACACCCTTGATGAAGCCGAGCCACTCAGGGATGAGGTCGGTGGCATCGTCGGTGATGAAGACACGGCGGACGTAGAGCTTGATGTTGTTCTTAGTCTTCTTGGTCTCGAAGAGGTCGAAGGGAGCGCGCTTGGGGACGTAGAGGATGGCACGGAACTCGAGCTGACCCTCAACGGAGAAGTGCTTGACAGCGAGGTGGTCCTCCCAGTCGTTGGAGAGGGACTTGTAGAAGGCAGCGTACTCCTCCTGGGTGATGTCGGCGGGGTTGCGAGTCCAGATGGGCTTGGTCTTGTTGAGCTCCTCCTCCTCGATCTTGCTCTCCTTGACGGTCTTGGTCTTCTTCTCCTTCTTTTCCTCCTCCTCGTCGACCTCCTCGACCTTGGGCTTCTTCTCCTCGTCCTCCTCCTTGTTCTCCTCGGCCTCCTCATCGGGGACCTCCTTCTCGGTCTCCTTCAGGACGTGGAGGTAGATGGGGTAGGAGATGAACTCGGAGTGCTTGCGGACGACTTCCTTGATACGGCTCTCGTTGAGGTAGTCGGTCTGCTCATCCTTGAGGTGGAGGACGATCTTGGTACCACGGCCGAGCTGCTCGCCCTCGGTGTCCTGAGTGAGGGTGAAAGTACCACCGGCGGCGGACTCCCAGACGTACTGCTCATCATCGTTGTGCTTGGAGACGACGGTGACGCGGTCAGCGACCAGGTAGGCGGAGTAGAAACCAACACCGAACTGGCCGATCATGGAAACATCAGCACCAGCGGAGAGGGCCTCCATGAACTGCTTGGTTCCGGAGCGGGCAATGGTACCCAGGTTGTTGATGAGGTCCTGAAATGAGTCAGAGAATGCTCGAGAGAGACGTTACCCAGATAGAGGAGAACTTACAGCCTTGGTCATACCAATACCGGTATCACGGATGGTGAGGGTCTTAGCCTCCTTGTTGGGGATGATGTCGATGCGGAGGTCCTTGCCCGAGTCGAGCTTGGAGGGGTCGGAGAGGGACTCATAACGGATCTTGTCCAGAGCATCGGAGGCGTTGGAGATGAGCTCTCGCAGGAAGATCTCCTTGTTGGAGTAGACAGTGTTGATGATCAGCGAGAGCAGCTGAGAGATCTCAGCCTGGAACTCAAAGGTTTCGGAAGACATGGTGAGGTATTCTGTGGAGGGGGATTGTTAGCTGAGAACCCCACTATGTATACAGAGATTTCCAATGAAGCGAGAATGTCAATCACGCAGGATGACTTGGAGACAGAAAACTCAAGATGCTCAGTCAAGCGGGCAGAGAAATCGAGTCTGTTTCTGACCGAAGAATCTCGATGAAGGGCAAATTGCCAGCTCTAAGAGCTGTAGGCGGGGTAGGCGAAAGATTGGTGAGAAATGGATGCAACTTACAGAAGGAGATCGTGAAAAGAAGTCGTAATGGGATGGAAAAAGAGGAAACGGTGAAATAAATCTGCTCGAGAGCAGAGATTGAGATGGATGGAGGGAGGTAAGTGAGGAGTAGAGGGAGAAGAACAGAAGAAGAATGGGAAAAGGCTGGCGGGAGAAGAAAAGGAAGCCGGGGCGGAGAAGCGTCCAGGCAATTAATATGCACAAAAATTCGGTGCGGGCGTTTCTACGGCGATCCAGCAACTTCCACGCTCCGCCCTTTCCACTGTCTTCGATCTGATCGCCCGGGTGATCGAATCTTCCGGATGCTGGGGCACTTCGGTATCCTGGGCAATTCAATCGACTCGTTTGATCGACTTTCTCTGCTTTCCCAGCCTATTCTGGCCATCAATTCGCACTTCTTCGATTCATCTCGAACCGGATCCTGCCTGAGGCTCTTCATCTAGAACGTTCCGCTCCACGACCCCCGCGGGACCAATCAAGGTGGCGCATGAGACACTCCGCCTTTGCTCTCCGCCAGAAGGTTCCATTGCCTCCCTCTGTCTACGGAGTAGTTAACTACCTGTACCGTCTGCAATGTGATGGACGCCAAGGTTAGATATGATTGACAGCATACCCGCCGGGCTACAAATACACCCCAGAGACACACCATCCACATGACAGGAAAAATAATACAAACAAATCCGTGGTGGGTCACCCTGCCTCGTCTTCACCGCTTCCACCTCCATCCCAAATATGTAAGCCTTCCCATTCATTTCCATATTATCTACATCGTGGACACGCCTATTCCACCCGGAAAGCAGACGCGAGAAAAGATCACATGTCAGAGTATGGTAATGGATTGGGAGTTTCATAAACAATATGGCCGATCAAAAAACAAGGGCGAGGCGAAACAAAACGAAAACACATCAAAAAGCACACGGAGCTGGCTATGCGAGAAATAGGAAATGGGCAATAAGGTCATGGCAACACAGTGATAGAAACAAAAGTCATGGATCACAGACCAAGGAGGAAATCGGAAGAGGAACAACTTTTCCAACCGCTAATATGCACTGTGACGGGGGAGGGCCACGTAACACATGTCATTATCAGTAAAAGGAAGTAATACATGCCCTGGATCACTGTAAGCATCGAAGCCTGTATGCTGAGGGCGAGCCAGGATGAATGGGCGAATAAAAAGTAACAGTTACGGAGAAATGTAGAAGAAAAATGCATGCGGCGTAACGACGATATCACGGATTCATGATTAAGCGGCCGGGGCCTGGTTGCGACCCTTGGCATTGACGTTTCCACCACGACCACGGGGAGCAAAGCCGCCCCGGCCATCGCGCTGGAAACCGCCACGGCCCTGGCTGCCGGCACGGTCACCGCGGCCACGACCAGCACCACCCCGGCCGGCGCCATAGGCGCCACCGTAAGCGTTGGCGCGAGCGCGACGCTCCTCAACAGAGATCTGCTCGGTACCGATCTGGTGAGGGTTGGCAGCAACCGCAGCCGCATAGCCCGCGGGATCAGCGAACTCAACAAAGGCGCAACTCTAGAAACGGGGAAGATTAGTGTACAGATCCCCACTTTGGATTGAAAGAGTGAGAACATACCTTGGTGCGGTTCACGTCGAAATGCTTGAGCTTTCCAAAGCGAGTGAGGGTCTGGCGAAGCAAGTTGGGGTCCACCTTGTCAGTAACATTCTTGATGTAGCCAAGAGTGTTCTGCTCCTCGTTCGAGCGGGATTGGTTCTTCTTGTTCTCCTGACCAGCGGTCTGCCAGCCAGATCCGTCATTGGAAGAGGGCTGACTAGCGGGAGTGGGCTCAGGGGCCGGGGCGGCAGGAGTGGCAGCAGCCGGCTGGGGGACGGCCGGAGCAGCAGCGGGAGCAGGCTTAGCCGGGGAGACGGGGATGGCGGGCACAACAGGAGCGGACGCGCCCGACTTGGACGCGATGTTGGCCCAGGTCTTGGGGAGAGCCTTCGCGGGAGCGGGCGCAGGAGCAGGGGCAGCCTCCTTCGCAGGGGCGGGGGCTTCCTTCTGCGCGGGCACCGCAGGAGTGGACTCGGGAGTGGCGGGCTTCTCGGGCTGGACAGCTTCAGGCTTGGCGGCGGCAGCGGGCTGGACAGGAGCCTCTGACTCCTTGGTCTCGGTGCCGTTGGTCTGCTCCGCAACCGCCTTGGCCGGCACCTCCTCGCCGTTCTTTTCGGCCTCCTCAAGCTTCTCGTCCACCTTGGCCGCGGCAGACTCAGTGTCCACCTGCGACTTCTCCGCGGCGGGAGCCGGCTCGGTCACGGCCTGGGAGGGCGCCTCCGCTGGAGTCTCCTCAACAGGAGCGGGGGCGGCAGCGGGAGCCTCCTCATTGACGATTTCCTCTTCATCAACCAAAAAGCGGAAGATGTCGTTGAGGACGTAGTACCCATTGGGCTGCTCCGCAAGCACGAAGGTCTGGACGAACTTGCGAGAAGCCTCGCCCTTGTTCGAGATTTCACCAATGACGGCGATCAGGATGTTGTCGAACGAAGCCTGAGAGTCGACGTTCAGAACGCGAACCTTGCAGTCCTGGAAGTCGAGCTCCTTGATCTTTTCTTGAATCGCCTACACCCGCACAGACAATGGTCAGCAATGGGATGGGCTGCGGGTGAAAACGGCAAGGGACGATGGACTCACCTTGGTGCCCATAGCAATGGTAACCGTCTCAGCCTCCGTACCGAAGATGAACTGCGAGCGCCGAGAGTAGAACAGGTGCAGTTTCTCCGGGCTACGGCTCATGTTGGTGTAATATTGTTCGACGAAGTACCAGCCGACCTCATCCTTGGAAATTCCATTCTTCTGCTGGTCGGCGGGGGGAGCATTGGTGGGAGTGGAAGACTGTGCAGGCTGGAAGTTGGCCGCATTATTCATGGCCGCGTGAGTGTGGTTGTAGGAGTCGTGGTAGGCGTGCTGAGCAGGGTAATTGCCGTTCATCGGAGCTTGAGCGGAGTCGGCCATTATGTCGAGGAAAAGAGAAGAACGGAGAAAAATTTCTAAAGCGGCGAAGGTTCAGAAATAAATGCGATGGCGAAAACGAAGGCCTCTAAGCGAATCAATAAGAGGGCAAAAGATCTAAACCCAAAGCTTTTCTTCTTCGCTGGACTGGAGCGGGATGACGGCCAACCGGTTAGTAGTGGACGTTGGAAGGCCGAGAGGGAATCGGCCGGGGAGGAGGGACCACGACTCACAATGCGAAACAGAGAGAACAGAGAAACCGGTAGAGAAAACAAATGGCAGAGAAGGACCAAAGGAGAAAAAGATGAGGTCCGCAGAGAGCGCGTGGGAGTGGTTGCGGGCGGTGACGGTGAATGAGAGAGAAGATTCTTGTGCGATTTCCAATTACTCAAAATCGCAAAGACAAAGCGGGTGGTGAAGAATTCAAAGATGGATTGAAATGGAATAGGGGACGGTGGACAATCCGATGAGATCAGCGATGGATCGAAGACGGGAAAAATGGTAGAAGGAAGGGAAGAAGAATTGTGTGGATGATGTGGGAGTGGAAGTGATGGTGGTGAGGGAAGCTGTTGTGAAGCTGTTCAGGCGAGTGAGGGAAAGACCTGCGGCTGCGGCAGACACGGACGACGGCAAAATCCCCCAACTTCGGGTCGTTTCAGTGCGTCCGCTCCTAGCGTCCCCTTACCGCCTGCCCAACTGGGCCACCAGCCAAGAGACATACATCATCATTAGGAATGAATCTGATTATTACAGTCAATCACACCGTTGGAATCTATAGACATTTCGGAAATAAAGCGTTCCACGTACAGGAACCCATATACACACAGGTGCGCCCAGAGAGAGTCATGCAGCAGAGAAAACAACCGAGAGCAGCGATCGACCAAGACCAATCAGTATCTAATAGAAAGAGAAGACGCGCAAAAACAAAGCTCAAACGAGGGGTATGAGGAAACAGGGAGACTTCTCATCGAGAACAGCGGTAGGTATCAATCAAACTCATCCACAGAATTCGCCAGGAGAAAACATCGACCGAAAACAGGAGAACATGCACCATGCGCAGAGGAAACGAGAACAACAAAAGCGCAGAGACCGACAAACGAGGCGTCACAGACCGCCCCTCTACTGACTCGACTCCGTGGCAGTCTTCTCATTGAGGACAGGCTTGCGCATGACCGCATCCTGTCCCGTCATTCTGCGGCCGAGGGCCCGTTCCACTTTCGCGCCGAGGGCCAGTTTGCTTAGGTTGTCACTCTTCTCCGGGGTCGGGACGAACCGCTGCTTCTGAAGGGGTTTGTTCTCGAGACGTTCCAGGCCGTCGCGCAAATTGTGGAACTCGGCGATACGGGGATCGCCGCTGGGGAGGTTGCCGAGAGAGGATGCGACCGAAGGGCTTCCGCTGACGGTAGAGAATCGCTTCGATGTACGGGCCTAGTTTGGGTTAGAAAAGTCGCAGGGTGTGGGCGATGCGGCTTTGCGCGTTAGTCTTACCGAGGGGAGCCATGATCGGTCTTTTCGGAGTCTAGCGAAGTCTGTCTGGCCATGGTACTCGGGATGTACGTAGGACTGGCACCGAGGAAGCGCCAGGAGAGGATGATAGAAAGGAGTTTCGTCGATCGCTAGATAATGTTTAGTCTGAGACTCCAAGATGAGCGTATATGGAAGTGCTCCAGAGTGTTTCTGTCGGCATGAAGTGGTAAAAAAGACAAACCCGGGCGTGGGTAGTATGGGAGGGCCTCCAGAATTATTGGGGCTTCTCGGATGGAGACTAAACAAATGGGGTTCAGGAGGATCGTTACGTACCGTGAATCCCGAGTGGACAGAAAATATTAGATCGTCAAATGGTTATTCGGTTCGACACGGAAGAAAAAACTGTGAGGGGTATAAGGAGAGCGTAAGGATCAGTAGAGAGAGAGAAAGAAGAGGAGGAGAAATGGAAGAGCCAAGGGAGCAGAGCGAAGAGGGCGGTGACATGCCGGGAGGATTTCAGGAGAGAAAAACGGGTGACACGCTACCAGTGGGTCTTGCAGAGTGGGTGAGAATAAACTCATTCCTCCATCCAACCGGAACTCTTCACCGTTGGCAGTTGACTCGCGTTTGCCTCCCCCAGAATCAGCATCTTAGAGGATCCTACACAGGTTAGACGACCATCACCATTGCATAAGGACCCGACGGCCCTCCGATAATAAGCCGCAGGAAGGATCGTCTTTCTGAAAACTCTTTACCTAGGTAGGTAAAAGGAGGTCCAAAGTGGATGCATCATACCACGCGTCCATCGGCCATTGCAAGTTTGGTCGCACAGATATTCTTTATTAGCTAGTACGGAGTAGAACATTAATCAGCGATTGATTCAATTTCCTACAATATATACCCAGTATCTTGATCTTTGATGAACGAGACCAACATCTATCCCTCGTCCCATACTACATAGGCCATCGCCACGTGCTGCTAGTGTATCACCCCAAATTAGGGAAGATCTTGGCAACCACGCGAGAGTTGATCAGTTCCCCTCCCCTCCAGCCGTTGGTGGCAATATCTCCCACTTCTTCGCATAATCCGGTGGACCGGCATGACATGTGATGATGTATGATGTTCGTAAAGACATGCAGCATAAGCTCCGATCTGAGTTGATCATGATGTTTTCCGCTGCATATGTCCCCCTCCTCTACGCCCAGTCGCAGAATTGCTTTTTTCCAAGGTGATACTTTTCCAGAACCTTGCATATTGGGCTTCCGTCTGCTTGCCGGGGTCATCTCAGGGACTGTCAGACCCAAAGATCTGAGGGAAGCGATGTACCTGAGCTCCATGTTGTTCAGTGACACCTGAAACAAGCGAGATCCCGGTAACCTGAGGGGAAGATGAAACAGCCCAGTCACTCCATCCACTGCCACACTGCTGCACTGCATCCTAGTCAGTGATGCATATACATACCGATGGCCTTGGGTTCTCTTTTTCTTTAAGATCAATAGCGCCAACTTAATTTCCTTCGCTTGGCGCTAGTCCCTTAACTCTGCCATCGTCCAACTCAGATAGCAAGTGATACATACTTCGTACTTATGTCTCTTCGACCCTTTCCCTGAGCTTTGGGGTCGGTCGCTGAATCTGGACCCTCAACAAGGGGACAAACATTTTTTCCCGTCTCTCCATACCGTGTATTATTCAGATGAACCCAGTCGTAGTTATTCTGTTCAAGACATGGATGCCGTGCAACCAAATGTCTCGCATGCTTCATACATAGATGTAGGCGGTGTGAATAGCGGCGGAATATGTCCGGCATTATTCTGTCAGCCCACATCGATAGAGGAAAAACACAAAAACGTCATGCATTTATTCCGAGCACAAAGATTTGACCAGAACCTTTTCTACGGCTTACGCAGTTGATCTGTCGCCCGAATACAACCAATATATCTATACCTAACTGGTCAGATTGGTGTTGGTTATTTTTATAGCTCAGACAGCATTGAAAATGCCCAAACCGAAAACTCTCTTGAAAGAGCCCAAGTCCAAGAAGAAAGCCGCGCAACAGGTACGATCTATGGCTACACGGTCTTGTATTGCTTACTGATCTCTACAGGCTCCACGCACGGCTGATGAGTTCCTCGCGGGTAGGCCACCCTCATCTTCACTCAGCAATCTGGCAGACTCTATGATCGTCACTCGTTCATATTCATTTGGTATGCATGCTAAATTTCATCCGTCCTTTCAGTTGGCGTGGAACAAGAAGAAGCTGGCGAGAAATGGCGCGCGGGTGATGCTGCCAAATCGATGCGCTTCTTTATGCGCGCCATTGCCACGTATGACGAAGGCCTGAAGAGGCATCCCCAGGCATTCGATCTGGCCTATAACAAGTATGTCCAAGCAACCAATGACGAGTTTGGATTTCCACGACACAGCCTGACCACTGAACAGGGCGCGAGTCCAGTATGAGATAACCCAGCATCCGAAACTAGCCACCCAGCTGTCGGCGCCACTCATAGAAGCCCTCCGCATCACCTTGCAGTCTCATCGCGAGGCTCTTGCCCTAGATCAGGATAACGCAGACGCGCTCTTCAACACGGCGCAGGTGCTCACAAGCCTTGCGGAGGCCATCACGGACACCAAGCGGCCTTCGGAAGACCGGCTCAACCAGGCGGTTAAGTTCCTTCAGGAAGCCCTGGAGCTCTTCCAGCGCTGTCTCCTTCTGCAAGAGATGAAGTACACAGAAATGCAGGAGCAAATCCGGCAGATCGAAGCCGGGGAACTGGGGCCTCCTCCGGAGCAGACACAGGAGACGGACCAAAGCATGGAGGATGCTGAGGAGTCCAAAACCTCCGATCAACAGGAACAATGGGCTGCTGTTGTGGAACCAGTGACAAAGGATACCCTGGTTGATACAGCAGTCGCTCAACTGGATGCTTTGACCACCCTGTGCAACCTGCTCACCTATGACCCCGGCGTGGGACTTGGCTGGGTGGAAGAATATTCGACCGATCTGCTGCAGGAAAAGATTTCAGCCTATGTTGAAGGATCCAACCGGCATTATGAAGCTTCCCTGGCACGCGCACGGTTTGTCTGTGCCCTGAACGAAGTGCTTTACCGAGGCGGTCGGATAGATGTTGAAACGTATCACAGCGAGATTTCGCGGGCCTTTGGTCCTGACCTCGATATTTCAGCAGACCCTGAAGGCCTTTGCGGCAAAGCGGATGCGCTCATGTCCTTTAACACAGCGCTCAGCGACGTGCCACCTCAGGAGCAGGAAGCGTTTACCAGGTCATTGGCATTGCGATGGCAACATCTGTCAACCGCGTTGGACGCGTTAACCAAGGCTTCCAAACTTCCTGACGCAGAAAACTTGCCCAAGATCCACCTGGCCAGAGGCGACGCGGAAATGGGCAGATGGAGGCTCGGCATGCCTCCCTGGGAGTACGCCATGGCCCATCAGAACGCCGCAACTCTTCTGCGAAATGCCCAAACATACTACCGGGGGGCCGCAGCTCTTGCGCGACGAGATGGATGCGCAGACGAAGAGCGAGACGGAACGTGTAAGGAGGCGCTTGCGGCGGCCCTAGAGGGCCAGAAAGGCAAGCTGGAGGAGCTCAAAAGTTCAGCGCCCAAGGAACTGATGGCGGTCGCGGAGGATGTAATCGAAGATGGCTGGGTGAATCCGGGAGATATGGAGGCGTTGCTCTCGTAAAAATATACCCTCATCACAATCAAATGATTGAGAATGGAGTCATGGCGTATCCAATGCGTGCGTATCACCTGTCAAGTAGAACGTGCACGGCGCGGTGATCATTTGTCCGTTGTCGTCTTGACCTCCTCATCCATTTGGATAGCTTCCTTGCGAAGGTCATTGTCGGCACTGAACTGCGTCGCGGCCGCTGCAGCACCCTCCAAGTCCCCGACAACGTTCTCGAGGCTAGAGAGCAACTCCTCAATTTCTTTGCGCTGAGCCCGAACACGCTCCGCGAGCTTCACGTTCTCCGCCTCAGTAGACTCCAGCTTCGAATCGAGGGTAACCCGTGCCTCCTGTAGATACGGAGTCAAATGTGCACGATACAATTCATCTGGGGGCAGTGTATGTGGCCTGGAATCGTCGTCCGTCAGTTCAGGTCATCCACTGAGAAAGGGGGAGCGTCTGATAGACACATACGCAACATCACCCTCACCCTGTCCGTTTTCTCTCCTAAACTTCGCCTCCCCAACAAGCCTGTCCAGCTCGTTCAACTGTCTCACCGCATCGCGTTCGCGAAGAATATCCTCAAACTCCGCCTTAGCACTCTCCTCCAACTTCGCATTCAGCTGTCTCCAGACCGACTCTAGACTGGCCGGAACATGCTTTGCGGGCGTTGGGAAGCACCCCGAGAAGTTTGCGTACGAATTTGCTCGCAGCGTGCGCGCTAACGCCTGGTCGAAGATCTTCTGGAGATATGCGGCGCGTGGACCGGGAGTTAGAGGTACAGGCGCAGGGGGCGGTGGAGAGGGCGAAGCCGCCGGGCGAGGTGGATTGGAGGAGCTGGTGTCTTCTGCCATGGTCGTCTCTGAAATTTTCGGGGTTTGCCTATTCACACCTTCTTGTGCTTTGTGGAGAAGATCAGATAGCGTTGCAAGGGATTCGAGAGCGGGACGAGTGCTTGTCGCGCGGGTGGGTAACGCGTCGATCACGTGCCGGGGCATCTATACAGCATAACGGAATGCCTTTTCTCTTCTCGTATGTAATGCACGGATTCTGTGGAGGATATAGCACCTCATGATGCTTCTACATTCAGAATCGATGTACTACAAGACTCAGTAAACTAACACACAGCATACCTTCATATGTATCTATATGTAGGCATTCCCATCGCAAGGTGGTCGTAATTATTTTTATTATCTACCAGAATTAATCTATGTACCCGATCAACTGATCGCAAACTAAAATGAACGAAACTGTTGACGAGCACCACTTGCATAACAGGGCCGTTTGGACACCACCGGATTCCCAGCGTTGTACCACGAATGCGCATGGCACTGCCTCCTCCCCATCTTCCATTCTTCAAACGTTGCCTTAAACGCCGGCCACGATATTGACACGTAGATAATGCTGTTCCAGAAACCCTGCAGCGGAAGGACAAAACTCGCGATGTAGTTGAGGGGGAAGTTGAACGCGTCCGGAAATGCAAGAGCATATACGCGGTTGATGGTCGACGGAACCTAAGACAAGAGTCAGAACCCCGAGGTCTGAATTGCATGGGCGGAAGGACTCACCCAGGTAATGATCAGAGCGATGAAAAACAGCATCGCGTATTTGGTGTACACCCACGCCGCTTGACTAGCGTCTGGTCCCAAGGCGCGCCGCTGTGCCAGCCACTGCTGTTCGTCGTATCTGGCAGTCTCGTACCCAACACTACCATTCCGCTCTATCCTCGCGCCACCTTCTATTGTGATCGAGTACGGGTCGTACGGAGGCCGGATGTTCGTCGGCGTCGTCGTTGGAAGCGAGGAATCTCTGTTCGACCCGGACGCTTCGCAGTCATTCGACAACTCGCTCGTAATGTGGACACGGGTGACCTTGGAGACGGTCTGCGCGAGCGGAGTCTCGAGGTCGACATTTTCGATGCTGATATTCTCGATGTCGATATTCGATTCGATGGTCCCCAGTTGTTCCAGCTCGCGTCGCTTTCGGTAGATCACCCGCCCCGTGCGCGCGTAGATGCCCAAAGTCAGGAAGATGACGAACCAGACGGGACCGTAGAAGACCGCGAGACGCAAGTAGTCCCACGACGGCGAGATCCAGCACCACAGCTGCGGGACGGTCAGTTGAGAATACGACCAGGACAGCCGGCAAGGGCGTGCACTTACCACGGCGGAACCGTAGACCCGGCCGCGGGACCTGCTCCGGACAAAGAAGTAGACAAAAGCCGGGATAAACGGCAGTCCGTAGCAGAACAAAAGGTATTTCCATTCTTGCTTTCGCAGCTGATCGGAGTTGTATTTACGGAAGAAGGTGAGATAGACGTTACAGGCCATCGCGAGGGTCCATAGTGCATCGGCGGGCATGAACCTATGCGCATCAGCGTCTTGTAGCTTTGGCGTTGAGCGGGTACCAAGATGAATGTGCGTACCACTGGATTAAGAAACCTTGAAACTGGCATAGAGGAGACGACAATCCCGCACGGATCCCTGATTGAGAGACGACCGTCGCGATGTTGGCCATAACATTTCCCCAGCAGGCGTAGAACACGAGGCGATTGATCGGCTTGCGGAATGCGCTGGAGTACAGAAAAGAGACGACAACGATACCTGTCCCGAGGAGAGAGACGACCGAGCAGACCCGCTCCGTGACGGAGATGGCGTACAGCTGATCTGGTGTTGGCGGCATGGTGGCATAGGCGCTGCCGACGGCGCATTCAGATGGACTAGCCCTTTAGTCTTGCCCTCTGATGCGAAGAAGAAAATGGCAAATCTGATGAAAGAATGGGAGAATAGAGAGCACCAGGGGACTGGTCGAGCTATATCCTATACATCACGACCGGCAAAGACGCGGTGGGACAAAGGGTCGCGCGGAGATAGGCCATGGCTCGCATCCGCATTCACCCGCCGAGCAGTTGCGTAGCTCGTGGACCGTGCTAGTCGCGATTCCGAGTATGCGGAATAAGGCGCGATATTGCGGGGATGGGGATGGGGATGGGGGGTCCAACGGAGCCCTGGTTCGATGAATAGTGGGACGCAAAACTTTCTTTGAGCATACGCACAGTCCAGGATCGGATGCATCGCCTCCTCGAGCAGAAGCCCTCAGTCTAAACCTATCAGTGCGATCCCCGAGGAACCGCCTCTCGACCATCGAAGCCAGTGTAACCGGTTATTTTCCTGCGATGCACCTGTCACACAAGACCAGAAAGCGGGAGAGACGCTCTGTGATAGATAAAAGGCGTAGAGATTCAACACACAAATACGGCTAGCCTGTGGGTTTTCAAATGAAGACTGTACCCAGTTAGCATCGGAAACGCCACCTACGATCCCGATTGCATGGCAGCCTTTGGTGGGTGAACCACGGTGAGGCCAAAGCAGACCCCCAATCCATAACGGCCCGATCGACACCAGAACAAGACGATATTCGGTTTGGATGGACCGGTGTAGAGGGGACACTGGGAGTCCCTTGGCAAGCCGAGGACAAAGAACAGGAGCAGTTGAACATCGGAGATGATGCAGGTTGTCGATGAACTGCCTGACATGCCAACCGTGATTGAATCCTTATACAGATACAGGTAGGTTGATGATATCGAGACTCAACACCATAGAAGAACCCCGAAAGACAAGCCGCTATCGGCGGACGTGGGTGATGCACTCGCTATCACGCCATAAACCAGCTGGGACTATCCCATAATCAGTTCGGACGAGGCAACTCTAAGGACTTTATTTGCTTCAAGATTCAACCGAAAACACATGCAGTGCAAATAAACAGCATCCAAATCACAATCGTCTCGATATCCATATTTCGGGTATAACGCCGCGCTCCCTCCAGTTCTAAACCCACCTTGCTTCATATCGGCATAACAACAAGGGATGAGGCAGACGAAAAGAAAGAAACCGTGCTCAAAATAGCAAGAAAGAAAATGTCACACCAAAGATGGGCAGAACAAAGAAAGATTGATGGACAGCCATCAACAGAGTGTTAATAAAAGCAACTCCAAGCCACGATGTCGCCCAGTCGTTCTGATTGGACGCACACTAATAGGCCTGTTGGGGTGGTACCATCCCCCCATACGCGCCGGCCATCTGTTGCTGCTGTTGATGCTGTTGCTGCTGCTGCAGTTGTGCCTGCAACTGGGGGAGATCATGGAACCAGGGATGTTGCAGAGCATCATGCGCGCTGATCCGCATTTCCGGACGGAGCTGGAGCATCCGGTTCAGCAGGTCGAGACCCAGAGGGTCGATCTGGGGAAGGATGAGACCCAGATCCGTCGTCGCATACACGTGGAAGTTCGGCTTGTACTCGGGGAGTTGAGAGATTCCGGGCCACGAACGCTCCGACGGCGTGCCCATCAGCCGAAAGATCTTTTGGAGTTGGTCCTCGTTCGTCGTTCCAGGGAACAGAGGACGTCCGGTGTAGAGCTCCGCCATGATACAGCCGGCAGACCAGATATCAATACTAGTGTTGTACGTGCGACTGCCCAGGAGGACATCAGGAGCGCGGTACCACAAGGTGACCACTTCGTTGGAGAAGGTGTTGACAGGGATGCCAAACGCCCGCGCCAGTCCAAAGTCACCCAGTTTCAATTGTCCCTTCTTGTTGATCAGCAAGTTCTGCGGTTTGAGATCGCGATGCAGGACTCGGTTCTCATGGCAGAAGGCGATGCCTTTGAGCAGTTGGTGCATAAAGGATTTGATCGTGGCCTGGTCCAGCTGTCCTCGATCGCCGCGGGTATCCATGTATTTCTTCAGATCCTTATCCATGTATTCGAAGACAAGCATCAACTTGTTTTCCGTGTGGATGACATCGTAGAGTGACACAATACTCTCATGTTTGAGTTCCTTCATCAACGAAATCTCGCGAATCGCAGTGGACGGGGTGCCTTCTTCGGAGTCCAGGTGGATTTCTTTCAGGGCGACCAACTCTCCTGTCTGGCGGTTTCGACCTTTGAACACCTGTGGTTATCTAGATCAGCTGGATTGATACTTAAAGAGTTGACTATCCGCGTTCAGGGCGGACTGGGACAGGCATCAAGGCTCCGGAAGACTTGACGTACGGTAGCATATGTTCCTTCTCCAAGCTAAAATATCCAAATCGAATGGTTAGACTGTTGTTCCAGATGATTGGGATCAATATCAGAACAAGACACACCTTCTCCAGCTGCTGGAAAGAACTGGGCTGCTGTGCCTTGTCCATCGTGCGGGAAGCGGTGGACGAAGGGCTCCTGCGAGAGGTCGAGGGTCGAGAGGATGAAGGCTTGGGACGCTGAGAGTGGAACAGAAAGGACTTGGGCGAGACCAGACTGGAGACGATGTCGTGATAGGTTGAAGGGGGAGGATGCGATGTTTTCAAGTTGCGACTGTCCATGATCGGGGTGTCGCAGCAACTTAAGCAGTGGAAGAGCCCCGCGCCGGAGATCCTTCCCTTCCGTCCAACGACCACCACTTTGGTCCGTCCCGGCCAGATCCACAGCGCGTCTAGACCCCAATCCTACTACAAAACTATTGTCCACCATTCTATAAATATTGTAGATTCATCTTTTCTGCGATGTGGGCGGTGATAATATCCTGTTCAGATATGACCTCGAGCTTTCTATCATGAGTACGCCGCTATGATCTATTTCTAGAGCACCAGCCAAGCGCCGAACAGTCATGGCGCTTATACATAAGTAAGCCACTTATACACAGGGTTACTCCTCATACATTACAACCGGGTAAGTTCTGGAAGCTGCGATACCACGGGTGGGAGAACCGACTCGGAATGCAAGCTGCACCGGATATGAGATGCGGCGACGGGATCATCGTGTGCCGATCCAAAGAGTGCTGACTCGTTGCGCACTCCTCCAATGTTGATAATGCCTATCGGCATGCCTCTCTTGTGGGCCCGTTCGACCAGCCTCCATGCAGAATATGTAGCAAGACTACTGCCAATCACCAGTAATCTCCCAGCATCGTCAATGGCCTCCTCGGCGGCCACTTTTACACGGGGATCAATATTCTCCCCGAACATAACCACTGCCGGTTTCAAAACACCAGCGGTAGAGCTAGGTAGCCAGGCTCCGTCACTCTCAACCTCGACCCGGGTCGGGGTGCCGTCTTGCAGTCGAGGGGGCTTTTCTAGACAAGTCGGACAAGACGGATATCTAAATGTAGAGTATGGCGCCTCAGCTAGATCCACATCGCCATCGGGGTTTAGCTTCAAGCCCTTCTGCCGTTGCACCTCCGGATGATCGGTATCAAGCGCCCCGGACTCAACCATCCTCGCTAAGAATTCGGCCCATGCTGGATTTAGTCGTTCCAGTGACTGCTGGAATTCCTCACGAGGGAACTGATTCCGACAGCTCAGACAGACAACGGATCGCAGATAACCGTGCAGTTCCAAGGTTGTGAGATCCGGATGGGCGATAGAATGGAAGGAGTCGACATTCTGGGTCACCACCGAACTGATATAGCCTTTGGCACCGAGATCCCGAATAGCCCAGTGTGTCAGATTTGGCTTCGCCTTCACCAAACCTGGCCAGCCGACGAAGCTTCGAGCCCAATATCGCTTGCGAAAGTCATGCCGCTTCACGAATTCATGGAAATAAATTGGCCGGTAAGTCTTGTTTGTGACATAAGTACCGTTCTCGCCGCGATAGTCAGACAACCCCGATGCTACCGAGATCCCAGCACCAGTCAACACGACCGTCTGCGCATTTCTGCCCACGTCCACCCCTCGAAGGTAGGGAGAGGGGGGAGATGTCAGGAAGGACAGGAGAGCATCGATTGCTCCTGAGACCGTGCGAGCGGACGGAGGCACGATAATCGGCGCAGGCAACGGGCCAGTAAACGGGATGCGGATGGACGGGGCCGTCATTGAAAACTCATTGCTGATGTGTTATATTGAGGAAGAGAGGGGAAATTAACAAGGAGGTGTACCGGGAGTGTGGGATGTAGATACAGCGTGGATGTTGTCGAGGTTCAGTTCATGGAGAGCTCCGATGGAGATATGGATGATGCATACTGATGTCTGACTAATATGCATAAATCACATGACGATGTCTCATAGCTGCACACAGCGTGCTACAATGGATTCGACTATTTCTCTTCTATGTAGAAAGACAAAATGACGACTAAAGCTTCCAAACAGCGTCATTCCCCCTCGAATGTATCCCCAATAGTGACTTCATCGTGTTCTCTGGCGATCGCAAACTTCCCCGGATATAGATGGACCCACACGTGACTCGATAAAGTCTTGCAAAACGTCATCGGTAGAACTTAGAACTTAGTCACATCACTCGTTTCGCGCCATCATTGTGTGGGGGATTCTTGCCTAGAAAAATTCCGGGGAGTCGCAGTTGGGATTCTCCCAATTGCACCTATCTACGGGCCTTGGCCATGTTTCCGTCTCCAATGGGCAATCTAGACTTGGATGCCTTGAGTGGCATTTGTGGGTGAGTACTGTGCAGGACACTGGCCATTGATTTATTTTTTTTTTCTTTTTTTATCGCGAAAACGAGAGGCTAACATGTCATAGCTCCATATCCATCGCCTGTTGGGTGGTTGTCTTCTCTCCCCAGATCATAGAGAACTTCCGTCGCAGCTCGGCAGATGGCCTCTCGCTTCTCTTCCTTGTCGTCTGGCTAGCAGGCGATGTATTCAACATCCTCGGTGCAGTCCTGCAGGGCGTGCTTCCGACAATGATCATCCTAGCCGTGTACTACACGCTAGCGGACATTGTCCTGCTCGCGCAGTGCTTCTACTACCGCGGCTTCACACTGCGAGACGAGCCGTCTCCTCCGGAGTCGCGTGCCCCAGAAGAAGCAGAAGACAACCTCGAGGGAGGGTCTACCGCGGCGACGCGAAAGCCCACCGAGCGGAGCTATCTCCTCCCGTCAGAAACAAACGGCCAATCGTACCAGACAAACGGCCACGACCACCACCAGCACCCAATCCCCCATCACCAGCAGAGAAGACACAGCGCGACGTCGTTCCGCGACATCCTCCACACCCACATCGACGGCACGCATCTTTCCCCCGCAACGCCCTTCATCGAGCCTCCTTCGCCCAAGGAAACACGCGCCGCACGGAGCATCTCGGCCCTGCAGAGCCTCCTCTTCAACGCCTGCGCTGTCGCTCTCGTCTGCGCCGCCGGCGTGCTTGGCTGGTACTTCACTCCAGGCTCGTCGAAGAACAAGGAGCCAACGGACGACACTCTGGCGTTCGATACCCTGGGCCAGGTGTTCGGCTATCTCTGCGCGGTGCTCTATCTCGGCTCCCGCCTCCCGCAGATCCTCCTCAACTATCGGCGCAAGTCCACCGAGGGAGTCTCGCTGCTTTTCTTCCTGTTCGCCTGCATCGGCAACCTGACGTATGTACTTTCTATCCTGGCTTTCTCTCCGGTGTGTCGGGGCGACCGTGCTGGCCACTGTCGCCCAGGGGAGGCCGCGGCGATCTACGGCCGGTATATTCTCGTCAATCTTTCTTGGTTGATTGGAAGCTTTGGGACCCTTTTCCTTGATATGTGTATTTTTGTTCAGTTTTTCATGTACCAAGATAACATCTACATGGACGAAGAGGGGAGCCAGGAGACAGTAAGAGGGTGAGATTCCGTTCTTAGATTGGAGAGGACGTCTAGATGTTTACGACAGAAAAGCCTTGATCTCAGTTTTTGATGTATATACTAGCTACATTCGATGTTTCCGGCCTTAGCTCATTAAAAGATGAATTGACTTTCAACCTGGCTACAATGCGTGCAAAAGACTACTAGATCAACCCACTAGATACGCCTGTCATGATAGAATGTAGCCGACAACACCTGCTCGAAGCGACGTGACCAGTAACTCCTTGACGCTTTTGCATAATCGAAAAGAAGACAACAAAGCAAACCATGGGAAACACATAGGACCAACCAATTGCTAAGCAACCACTCAATCGCTGCTGGGGGGTCGAGCCTCCACCTTTCCCTGGCTGACCTCATTCCAGTTAGTGCTCAAAGAAGTGCCCTGGCTCTCAACGTAGCTCTTGACCATTGCGCGACGGGTATCAGGGTCAGCATTGGCGTAGAGCTTCTTGAAGAAGGCATCGACCGGGTCACCGCCGCCGTAGTCAGAATCGACCGAGTCCGCTCCATCCGACTCCTCTCCGGAGCCATCTGCTTTGGCCTGGTCCTTCTCCTTGGGCTTCTTGTCTTTGGACTTCTTCTTTGTAAGCGTCGACGCAACCTTGTCCCAGTCCTTGGCTCCGGTCCGAGATGACGACGGATACGCAGGTGCTGTTCCGGTCGAAGGGGCCGAGGCAACGGCAGCCGATCTGTCCGCTAGTTTGACGTCCGAAGACGTACTTTCCAACGAGCTCCATTTCTGTCCCGCGGTCTGTTTGCGGAGGACAATCTCGATCTTCGTGGACATGACCGACACCTTTGACGAGGATGTGTCGATTGATGCAAAGAGAGGGTCCAGAGTAAAGTCATAGTCAGCTCCGGAAGGCAGAGGAAACTGAAGGGACACCTGTAAATTCATGTCAGTTAGCGCATAATCCCGACAACCAAGTATCCTGGAGCCAAAGCACATACCGAGTCACTCTTGAGATCCACGTCCACCTTATCCTTAGCAACCCCCTTGACGTACAGCGTCACAACAACAGAGTCATTAGACTGGTACCACTCATGCCGGACCTTCTCTACCGCCGGAGCAGAAGCAGGAGTCGCCGCCGAAGCCACGGGCGCAGACTCGGTCTTCCCATTCTGACCTGCAGACGAACCCTTCAGCTTCTCCTCCGCCGAGCTCTCCGCATCCGCAATCTTTCCCGACTTCAGCCCCTCCAGCTGCTTCTTGATCTCCGCCTCAGTCGGCACACGGACACCAGTCGGGTACTCCGCAACCGTGACAGCCGCCTTCTCATCCCCCTCCGGCAGCTTCTTCAACATGCTCTTGACCTTGAGCTCCCAAATCGGCAGCTCCTGCTGGAACCCATTCTTGGACGTGCGCGAAGCCGACATAGCATCCTTCACCTTCTCCGATTTATCTTCCGGCGCCGCACCTGCTTCCTTTGCGACCTTCTCTTGGATCGTCGCGAACACAAAGGCCGCATCGCCGTACTGCTGGAGCTGGTAGAGCGCAACGCCGCGCCGGAGCTGGGCCGAGAGGATGAGTTCGCGCTTGCCGCGTTCGCGCGCAAGGGTCAGGGCGATTTCAGCATCGCGGAGGGCAGCGGTGGGGTTCGGGCCGCCGTCGGCGGGCTTGAGGCGCGAGTATGCGGTCGATCGCTTGATGTAGTAGGACGGGGCGCGGGGGTGTTCGACGAGAGCCTGGGTAAAATATTTGATTGCACTGGGGTAATCGGAGCTGGAGAGGGCCTTGTCGCCCTGGGATGCTGAGTCCATGTTGCTGAGCTTCCTAGCTGTCGCAGCTGGAGGAAGTTGACTCCGCAGTGCGTTCCCGCTTGGAAGAAGGCTGGGTTGGCTTCGTTTGTAGTGGATTCGGAGACTGGAGGTAGTCGGGGACACTAGATGGATTTAGAGACAGAGTCCTGGGTCCAACACAGCAGACAAGTGCGTTGTTTTGCGGGTCAAAGAAATGAAGCTTCGATTGCTTTCTGTTTGGAGCTGCGGGGAAGGGATTATGTCAGCCATTTCTATGTGCATCCATAACTATCAGCAGCTTAGCAGCCTACCTTGATACTCCCTCAATTAAATGGATAATACAACGCCCTTTATTATACGTAGACAGCAACATTATAGTGTGTATCTCGCATGCTGGGACGCAATTGAAAGTGATCATTCAGCGCGAATGAAGCTTGCTTGGTAGGCTCTCCGAGGTATACAATGTCCGCACCTCAAAACTTCGTCGAGAGCTCGTATGAGTCTACATCATTTTATGATATTAATTATTAAAACAGTTCATTAATGTACATGGTTCCATGATTCCCACATGTCCGCGAAGAAGCCCTTAAAATAACTCTTCGTTGCCAAACTTCTTGCTGTAAAGCCCCAGAGCGCGAATCGGCCAATAGAGCTTGTAATTAGGGTATGAAATCATGCTAGACTCTCGTTAGCTCAACATTGTAATGGACGCAGATGTACGTGCACTCACCAAGACTGGTTAAAGACTCCCTCAATAGCCTCCTGCAACCACTCGCCATTGGCTTGTTGCCGGGACATCATCAACTTCATGGCCTTGCGGAGGGGTTCCTTGTGAGGATATCCCGCCTCCATCAGGGCAAGACACGCCCACGCAGTCTGGACGACTTGAGACATCTCATGCTGCACATATACATGCCGCTCGCTGCTGAGGTAGGACTCACCCCATCCGCCGTCCTCCTTCTGCTTGGAGAGGAGGAATTCACACCCGCGACGAGAGTAATCGCTAGTCTGGTAGGTTTCCCCAATGCTCGCCAGACTCTCCAGTGCAAACATGGCGGCGTACGTAAAGCAAATGCCCCATGATCCGTACCAGCTGCCGTCGGGTCTCTGCACCCGCTTGATATACCTCACGGCCTTTTCTTGCGCCGCCCGGATCTCATCAGCACGGTAATCTGGGTAGTACTTGCTAAAGAGTGACAGGGCGGTCACAGAGGCAGTCGTGCACTCGGGATAGTCATAGCCGATCATGATTCCACCAAACACTTCTGCCGCGTTGAGCCATTCAATCTTCGGGGAGCCCCGGGTAGTTTCGTACTCGGTGAATCCACCAGACGGATTCTGCATAAGCAGCAGGCAATCCACGCTATCCTTGAGCCGCTCTGCGGAGAGCAACCTCGGGAAGTTGTGCATGTCTTGCAATTGAATGGTAGACCGCAATCCTTCGGCTGTGCAATCACTGACTGTGTAGCCTTGGGTCTTGGTGCTGAAGGGCCACGCACCCTTTCGGTGCTGACGGTAGCACTTTTCCTGGTCGGGTACATTCTCGCGCATCTGGTGGTCCTCAAGAAATTCCAGCGCCTTGGTAAGCATCGGACGCCATTTCGGGTCGTCCGCAAAGCCCGCGACCACAATAGATTGGGTGATGAACGCAGTATCCCAGACCTGGACACCATTGGTACCGTTCATCAACATACCCTCATTCTTCATCCACATATAGTCGTTCAGACGCTCACGGTGGCGGCGAACGGAGTAGCTGTCCGGTCCGTCGTGAACATAGCAGGCGATCATGTTCATCGGGTTGCTCACTGGACCAAGACCAGCATAGTCAGTGTTTTCATCTTCCATCCGGATTAGCTCCCACGTCCAGGCTTCGGCGCGGCGCACCACCACAGGTAAACGCAGGTATGGATTCCAGACGTTTACTAAAAGGGAGTTGATGGCGTTGAGAAGCCAGGTCTTCGGATAGTAATTGTCGGCTTCGTGGATCGAATTGCGATGGCTCCTAAAGTCAATCGAATCATAAGGTTGAGTGTACAGTTCCTGTCGGAGCTGCTTGGTGAGCGGGTCCAGGGGATGGGTAAACTTTTTGGACCACAGGTACGACATGGGCAAAAACACCTGACGCATGTGGATCCACCACCTCCAAGGAGCAAAGGGAACCCAGTCTGGAAGAAGCCTGAGCATCGGTTAGTCAACATCCGCGGAACTAACACATGACATAACTCACCAGATTTCCGGGGGGACGGGGTTGACGCAGTCCCAATCCATAACGCCGAGAACAGAGAGCCAGAACTTCGCCCAGTGAGGTCCGTACAAGGCACCGCCAAACTTGTGCAACAGTCCACGGGCCTTGATCATGCGGGGATCGTCCTCACTCACGCCGACCAACCGAAGAGTGACGTAGTTCATGCATGTACCAAAGACGGAGCTATGGGCCTCGATATGAAGACCCCAGCCGCCATCTTCCGGGTGCTGACGCGCAAAAAGATACCTCTTGATCTCAGTCGCATACTCCGGGGGAATCGGGGTGTTGGTCACGTAGTAAGTAATGGCAAGCCCCGGAAGCAAGAACATGGGACCGCCATATTCGCAGGCCCAATTTCCCGGTGGAAGCTGCAGCTTGGAGAAGAATTCCAGTCCGTTCTCTGCACTTTGGAGAGGGGTCTTCGGAGCTGGAAGCTCTGGGAGTCCCTATTAAGAAGTTAGAAGAGCACAGGGGAACTAGGCAACCGCAATTGCTAGATTAATACATGTCGAGAAGGAAGGGGTTCTATACCGTGGGAAGACCCAAGAAATACTTATCAGCCACGGACTGGGGCCATTTTTCGTTCTCTTCGTCGGACTCTAGATAGTGCCATGTCTGGCGGCCACGATCATCAAGTAATCGCCAGCGAGAATAGTCTGTTTTGGCGTCTCCGTTCGCATCGACTGTTAGGTGGCCTTGCGCGGCCGTCCTCCACGGACCAATGTGGTCGCCAGCCATGTTTGAAACACACCGACAGAATGGCGCAACGCAATTGGGGCGGACGGTAGAACAGCACGGTCCGTCAGTCGCGAGTGCAGGGAAGAATACAGGCGAGAGTTCCAGAGGTTCGTCCTTGCTGGACAAAATCCGGGGATGGTGATCTGCGTGCTGACTCATCAGGGGGTCGGTGCCTGGATTTTCAGGACTAAATCGGTCTGTTGCATGTGACAGTGAGCAGAGATGCAATGATTAACTATCTAGTTGGTTATGGTAGTGGGGAGAAGTGTACATGGTAATGGAGGAATTCTTGTTAATAGACAGTATACTTAGGATGGCGTTGGTGCTTGAGAAGTGGAGAGTAAGCAGGACCAAATTATATACTTCCAGAGAGACCCTCCCACACACACCTTTGTCCACACATCCATTAACATCTAGCCCTCATGGCGCCGGAAAGTGAAAGTCACAGGAGGGTGCAAGGATACCTGAGCGAGACCCTCGCAGCAACAGTCGCCGAACTATCATCCCCTGACGGGCGACCATCTATAACCTTCCGACGAAGGTACCAAAAGGCGACCTTCTTCATCAACCCCAACACGCGAGCCCTCGAAGCCGTCGAAACAACCTCCCAGATAACGTATACCTGGCCCGGGAAAGATGCCCACGAAGCATGGAAATACAGTCAGTCAGTTCATACTGAGCCTCTCGCCGTGATGATAACCATCTCTAGCTGTGTCCATGAGGGTCTTAGCTGCTATTGCAGAGGCAGTCCATTCGGGTATAACAGTATCGAAAAGGTGCGCCGGAAGTCTTACTTAAGTCATCCGACGTGCTGGTTTCTAATCTTTAATAGGGATATCTACTACAGCGATCCTGCGTGCTTTGGGACTCAGAAGGTTGTCGACGCAATTGTGGACGACTTTGCTCACACCATAGGGGTGGATAGGGCGGCATTGAACGTGGTACATCTTTCGCCGATACTCCTGTTCTGGTTCTGCGACATGGCTTTATTAATCAAGGTCGGAATTGAATAGGACGCAGCTGCTAAAGGGTTGGTCGCAGGGTGTTACCGACCAACAACTATGCCGCCTCACAACGCACTCGACGGCGGGAGATCAGTAAAGGTTCATCCGAGCCTGTGTTTATAACAAGTTGATCAAATAACCAGCTAGACCAGGAGTCCCTTATCCCAAGGATGCAAGATACCGAGGGGTTCGATGTTTCCAACGCGGAATGGATCTTGATCATCGAAAAGGAGGTGCGGCGATAGTCTGCACAACTGCATACTTGTATATCATTGCGCTAACCGACCTAGGCTGTCTTTCGCCGACTTACAGGAAGCATCTTTCATATCCAGTCAGCGGCAGGAAAAGGCATACTAATAACCGTAAGTCCGAAACGTTAACGTGAATATCCACGGGACAATAGCCAACACTCGCAAAGGGAAAAGGATACCCGGATCTCAATACCAGAGCTTTTGTCCGTGCAATGTCTGACAGCCGTATAAGGTTGCCTAAACCTCCCAGGATCTATATCTTGGTCGATAGCGATCCCGATGGCATGGCAATTATGTCAACATACAAATACGGATCCATGGCTCATGCGGGCGAAAACGCGAGGTTGAACATTCCCTGTATACGCTGGCTGGGACTTCGCACATCAGATGTGGTTGCTGATGCAGATCCACTGGGTGATGATGCTCTGGGTAGCTTGACGCCCCGGGACAGGAAAAAGGCCGTTTCAATGCTATCAAACAACCCGGTGTGGGCAGATGACGGTCCTGAACTGGAATGGCGTGCGGAGCTGCAGGTGATGCTGATGCTTAATCTGAAGGCGGAGATCGAGACGCTGTACAATCGAGAAGGTGGAATTGAAAGGTGGATCGATCAACAAATGGCCGGATTGTAGATGGCGGTGCTGAACCATGTTCACGATAACCCATGACTATGATTTATGGATGTCCGAAGCGTATGGTGCTCTATGAATTCTTTAACAATGACCACTAGAACAAAAAGCAAAGATGTGTCACCCAGTGATCTTTCGAAATGCATCACTAACGCCTGTACCAGCCGGTAAACCAATGCATATATGTATCCATACCAAGTTATGCCACACGCCGGCGACCAAGGTTTTGAGAGAAGAAGGAAATATATATTGAGTCAGATAACCCTCCCCTTATTCGCACCCATGCTGCGCTCTACAGACCCAGTCCCTTTCGGACCTCGTCGCGCACCTTCCGCTCATACTCCTGTCTCCGCTCACGCCACATCTTCGCGGCCTCGACATTGGCGGGGCTCTCGTCATTGGGCTCTGCAAGCATGCTCATGACGGAGATGAGGATTTTCTCGACGCTCTGAATGGGCGACCAGCGCTCGGAGGCGTGCTCGTAGTGGTTGGGGTCGTCGCCAGGAGGATGGAGGATAGAGATACAGACGGTTCCGTTGGGATAAACTAGACTCGAGTCAGCTCAACCGGGCACAAATACTGCGCACAGATTTGGCCAAATGCATACCGTTCGGGTGCCAGACTCCACCGCCAACAAACTTCATCGTAGGCGGGCTCAGCGGATAATCCTTGGGGAACTTCAGTTCGGCGGCAAAGACGCCTCCTTCAAATGGTGTGCCTTCAGGGCCCTGGATCAGGGCCTCCCAATGGAACATGTCATCTTCCGTGACGGGACCAGCCGTGATGCCGTCGGGTGGGTTGGTGGAGAGGTTCTTGTACTCGTGGAAGAGACGTTTTTGCGCGACCGAAGACATGGCGAGTATGAATGCGGTCACTCGGAAATATGCAACAGGATTTACTCGGCAGGAAAAAGTATGATGTTCAGGGCACTGATTGTGGCGGCGGTCTTTGTCAATTGGAGAGAGACCGATACGACCGATTGCGGAGAGGGCGGGGCACGGATAGTCAGGCTTCTGTTCCGTACGCCGGGAAGCGATCAATTGTGTCTGGGAATGTATGGATGGACGGTGGATGAGGAAATCGGACGATGAAGAACGCAAGGGTTTAGTAGTTGTCGAGAGGTATTGAAGGAAACGAGGAAATCCCGGAAGTTGAGCATGTTGAAGTTGAGTTGAAGTTGCCACTGCACGTGTCGCGTGCCTCAGGCAGAACAAATTTCCTATTTCGGTGTACCAAAGCATCTACAGAGTATATCCTGCACAACATTCAATAAAACAGTAACCACGCCAAACCTGGATATCTATTTAGTATCTATTATACAAGATGTGGTAAAGTACAATTCTCCTGAGCTAAAGGTCAGAAATCTCCTAGAACCAGTCGTAATCATCTCCATCCTCTTCGCCGGGGTCTTCCGCAGCCCAAGGGTCTTCTTCAGTGTGCACCCACGGGTCTTCAGGCCCCTCACCCCAAACATTTCCATATGGGCCTGTTTGTCCAGACACTGACGATTGTCGATCCATCGGTGGCGTTGTCTGGTCAGGAACTTGAGATTGTTGTTGATGCTGTTCTCCCGTCATACCTCGGGACAGCGCATCGTACCCAGCGATCGCCCCAGCACCCGCTGCACCAGCAGCTGCACCCTCGGCCATGCCTCCTGCTGCTCCAGCTCTACCGAGGGTGCCTGCAGCTGCTTCTCCTACTGCTCCAGCTTCTCCGGCAGCTGCGCCACCAGCAGCCGCGCCACCCGCAGCTGCCTCGCTCCCAACACCGGGAATCCAAATAGGCATGAATCCGAATCCCCCGGCGCCGCTGTGGCGACTGAAGTAATCAAAATCAATACTTACGGCAGTCGCCAGCATGACTGCACGCTGGTCAAGCGTCATACCAGTGACGGTGCTGGTTTGGGTAGGCGCCTGATCGGGGCTGAGAGCGGCAGAGTCCATGCGCAGGGCATAAACGCCAGTATCTGTGAAGAATTCGCGAGCAAATCCAGCAAAGTTTCGATTCACCGACCCAATCAGCTGGCTGTCTGCTGAGCGAAGAGAGAAGTCCCAGGACAGGAATGGTTCGTCGACGTAGGCAAATTGGTTGTACTCTCCCACACCCTGACCGCTGCCTTGGGCTTGAGTCAACTGCATCTGCTGCGCGCTACTCAGTCCGGACTGTGCAAGAGGCAACTTCTGAGCACCCATATCGGTGGCAGCATTTGGCGAATGGTGATATGTGAATAGGTTGTATTTCCTTCGTAGTGGTGCCCACTGTTGCTGCGCTTCTCCAATCACACGCATGTCACCAAGACCTAGGGATGATACACGGGTGTGTGAATCCCCCGTAGCCTGAACCAGAGAGCCAGTCGAGGCGGCCTGAAGTCCATTTGTGGCGGAATACGTGTTCTGTGTAACTGCGAGAGGGTCGTATACCCGAATCCTCGAGTTAATCCAGGAAAACGGACGATGGAACTGGGAACGCAGTTAGACAAGGCGTGGCCAGGAAATGACCGGGGCAGAGAAACTCACCCTGAGCACCTCATTTTCATGCCTATCAAACACATGTGTCACAAAACTCCGATGTGTCCGGAGCCACTGGCGAGCCATCATATTGCCCATACCTCTCTCTTGCTCCGCCATGTAGCCGATATGATTGCCATTCGCGTCCATTATCACGTACTTGTTGGCTTGTTCAAAGCCACTGCAAAGAGGATTAGCTCGAGAACGCTGTTTTGTTCTGGTACGGGGGCAAGACAACTCACATCATGACATTCATGAGTTCCAGCTGTCGCTGAACCACCAAACCCGAGTTCGCCAATATGCCCGTGGCTGGATGGGTTCCTTTGAGAACACCATGGGGGTCCTCTGGGATATGAACTGGGGAGAGAAGGGTATTATGGGAAGGGTCGTAGTTCGGATTCGGAGAATCGATGGGTTGCGCTTGTGTATTTGCATCGGGTTGTTGCGATGACGCTGCCGGTTTCCGTATGGGCTCTGGCCTCCGGATCGAATTCCGCGGACCACGAGGCGCTGTAGCTCGTCCTCTGGTGAACGAGCTTGAAAGGGCACGACCGGGGGCTTGGAGAGCCCGTGCAGGCAATATTCGCAGCCTTGCCAACATGATGAAGCCGACTGGGCGCAAGTTGTCGTGAAAGATGGAGATGGAAGATTCGCGGTGGCAGAAATTATGACGAAGTAATGGCGGGGTTAAGCGGAGATAAGCGCCTGGAAGCAACCAGAAAAGAGCTATAAAACACAAACACCACGAACGCTATGCTTCAGTGGCAGCAAGCCGACAATGGTGTACATTCTTATGGTAATTGCTACCGGCTATTTAATGCAGGGCCTGAGTGCAAAATGCGATTTGACTTGAATTCCGTCGTATGTAAACCGTACAGACCAGAGAATGCAACGCTTCATAACCAACACCGGCATAAACCTATACAATCCCACACTCCCCAATCACTTGGGGAAAAGCGAGCCAAGTACCAATCACAGAAGTCCCTTACGCGCCAGTTCGATCTTTCGCGACGCTTCACCTTGGCGGTATCCTCCCCGCGAAACGCAGACGGCGCTTCCTTCACCAAGCTCGACTTTCTCTTCGACATCGGGGTGTGGACAGGGGCAGTGATGCGGGAAATGAACACATGCAAGGGTTCCAGGACAGAGGTATTTGTCGCATTGCGCTGTATCGTGCAATAGTTGCAAAAGTCAGTCATGACCAAACAACGTATACTTCATGATCGGTAGGGTCGAAGATACTTACCAGAGTCCCACATGCTCTGGTAGCGTGCACTGTCACTAGGGACGTTCTGCGACCTTTGCTGCTGATGTCCACCGTTGCCAAACATATGCTCAAAGAACTGGAATTGGGCTTGGGCCACGGAGGCCAGCAGGAGCAATGCCCCGAGAGTTCGGATCCAGGAGATCATCTGTGATGAAATAATCTGCGCGCGTACTGGAACAGAGAGACTGCAGAATCGCAAAACCGCGATTATTAATATAGCTAGGCAGTATGCGGGTTGTCTGGAGAAGACGCGAAGATCTGGTGGTCGAGAGGGAGGTTATAGTCCTCGATGAAGCCAACTCGCTCCAACCCACGTGACCCGACCACGCCAAGCCCCCGAAAAAAGTTCCCTCAAGTCCGAACAAGCAACAAGACGAACCTCATCCTCGCCGCGGCACACGAACCTACCCGTCCAACAATGTTACAACCCAGACTCCTGGCGCCCTTCCGGGCGCTAGAACGGGCCATTGTGCCAACCCTACGCTCCACACAACCCATCGCCCGTCCGCTATCCTCCACGCCGTCGATAATCCCGCGCACTCTCTCCGCACGGACAACGCCCTTCTCGCACCCTCTCCTCCCTCTATCGCAGGTCCGACACGCCTCACACGCCTCCCAGGGTACCGCAAACCGACACTCGCGGGATCCCGCCGGTAAGCGGTTGGGCGCCAAACGTGCCGGCGGCGAATACGTCGTGCCGGGCTGCATCATCTTCCGGCAACGCGGGACGAAATGGTTCCCCGGCGAGAACTGCGCTATGGGCCGCGACCACACCATCTACGCCGCCGAGGCCGGCTACGTGCGATACTACCTCGACCCCGAGCGCCACCCGGATCGCAAGTACATCGGCGTCGTCTTCGAGAAGGACGGCAAGCTCCCCACGCCGCGCAATGCCCCAACCCGCCGCAAGCTGAACCACGTCGCGGTGCCTCGTACCCCGGAGGAACCTGAGACTGCGGCGCAATCGGATCTGGTTGCGGATGTGGAGAACGGTGTCACAGTCTCGAGTGTGGAGGCGGCTAACGCTGGAACCGGCGCCCAGCTGCGTCCGGGATACATGTACCGTGAGGCGAACTGGCAGATTGGTCGCGCGGCGGAGAAGGCTGGCATCTCGGCCAAGTCGTACAACCGCAGGAACCGTTGGTTGGCGTGGAGAAAGAGACAGGCCCGTGCTGAGCGGGCTGCCCAGATGAAGAGTCTCAAGAACAAGAAGAAGGCGTCGAAGAAGGCCAAGGGTGGTCGCTAAATGTATTCTCTTGCATTATCATATCCCTTCATGTATTTTGATTGATGCACAATAACGGGCTTCAAGGTGTTTTTATTGTACTATAGCAAGATGTCTATTTCTACTACATCCATTCCTCTTTCGATCATCAACCATTTGAACATTGCTGTAGCATAACCAAACAGCGTTAAAAAAAATTGGAAACTAATAAGAGGAAGACATAAATCCAGGGGTATATTTCGTAATTTTGAAGGGCACGCCGTTTTCCAACTCATACAAAACCATGCCAATTGAACTCCAGAGCAGCAAGACGCGACAAACAACCATCACTAGTCAACCAGTTTGCCCAAAATTAAGCTCTGGCACACAAATTCATTGCCCACTATCCTGACATTGGGCCCGGATCCAAGATCACTGCTTCGAGAGGAGTCGGCCAACTCGCCTCTCTTCCGTTTCCGAGCATGATGGGCAGGCTGGGCTTTCTGAGAGCCGGGTCCCAGAAGACCAGAGATGGCAGAAGCTTTTTCGTCGTTATCCACGTAGATCCAGTCCCATCTTGCAGAGCCTGTTCTCGGTTGCTGTTCCAGAATGGCCCGCACGGTCTTGATATCAGAGACCCGCTCGACTCGTGCAGCCCCTAGGGCATAGGTTAAGAAAAGATAGGCTTTCCTTTTCTCCTCGTCGGCCTTGCTACGGCCCATGACAATCAGAACGGACTGTCCCTTCAGCAGGTTCGGGCGAGCGGCGATAGTGTCCGGTAGATGAGCCTTGTTGGCGGGGTATGGAGGGAGAATCCGGGACTTCGTCGCGCCATTGAGGTATGACGACTCGCCTGCTGGAAGCAGGTACATCTCCCAATCCACCACTCTGCCTTGGGCCACGCAGTCTTCTATCCAACGATCGGAGAGACAAGGTAGATTCAAGGCTAATGCCTGCATATATTTGGGCCGTCGGGAATGCCTGTCCGCAATTAAACAAGCAAAGCCCACATTTTCTGCACCGCCAGAGAGACGGAACTGGCCGTTGGATCCATTGTCTCCCAGAGCGGACGACTTAGTCGGAGTAGCCTGGGGCGCATTCGCCGGGAGGTCGAAAAGTTCGTTGAAGCCATCATGCAAGACGCGTCCATCATTGTCCTGGATCATCTGCACGATGCGTGACTTTGCACCATCATTTTCACCAAAAGAGACTGCAAACACCATTCCGGCAAATAATCCACTCGAGTAGCGGACACTGCGAGATAGCCGGGTGCTCGGAGATGCAGGTGTGGTGTTTCTGTCAGAAGGCGTTTGGACTCTACTTTCTGACTGGGTATTCTGGGTATTTGGAGCGTTAAACGTGTAGTCTCGGTCCTTCAGACGATTATACATGTTCGTGTCCATGTATATCTGAGAGATGGGAACCCTCACCACGCTCTCTGGTCCCACGATACCGCCATTAGGGAGGCTCTTGGGTTGCTTCGGGCCCAATACGAGTGTGGAATAGCCGTATACATCGGTCATTGGAGCCATTCCCATAGAGGCCCCCTTGGCAATATCTTCAGGACTGAGCCTGTCCTCAAAGCCTTTGATAATGTGCGTAACCTTTGGAACATTTGGCATATCCACCTTGACGGCGTCGCCGATCCGCAATTCCAATTTCTTCACAGAGTTAATGGACACTTCGACGGGGGCGCTATCCACAAATTTGACTAGGTAACGGGACGGCTGCGTGCCAAAAGGTTGCCCAAAGCATGTTGCAGGATAGTATGCTCGTTTCATTCCAGTCCATGGGGCCAGAACTTGGTTTGCTGCAATCTGGACCCCGTCATCGGGGACGGAGGCTGCTCGGACTGGCGTATAATCAGCAAGATAGCTTGTTGGCTCCTCTTGGATAGCAGAACCCTGGGGTTCTTCCGATTCACTATCAATTTGGCTGCTCCTGATAACCACTTCTACAATCGGTTTAACTGGTGATTGAACTGGTTTCAAGCGTGGCCTTCCTCGAGGTCTTTTCGGCTGAGTTGTCGGCTCGTGAGAACGTGGCCGAGAAAGGCGAGGCACATGTCGCTTATGAGAGCGTTTGAACTGTGGTGAGTCTTCCACATCCCATACAGATCGCCTTGGGTTAGAAAATCTCGATCGTTTCTCAAAAAGCGACTGAGATCTGACCGGCGTCTTGTCATTCTGAGGCTGCGTCACCTGTAGCTGTTCATGGTCCGGCAGCGGAGGTAGATGAGAAGTTGAACGAGGCGTGACGGGCAATACTGGATCAGATGCAGAGACGTTCGGTCCATCGTTTCTGCGACGCCGTTTCCTTGGGGGAATCGGGGACATTGCAACTGCGGAATTAAACTCGCGGTCCTCGGCAGATAGAATATTGAAGTCCAGATCGAACAGACCATGTCCGACTTGGGGAGAAGCATCTGCTGCGATCTCGGTCAAGGCCCTGCGCTGACGTCCACTGGGGCTGGAAAGGATCTTCGAATTCAATATGCGCTTCATGGGCGAGGAATTGTGAGACACCATCGGCTGGTGCTGGTGTACCCGCCCATCATGAGGGGCATAAGGGGGCAGGTCATCGTCCTCTTGGTCCATGTCTTCTTCATTCAGGTCGTTACCCCATTCAGGATTGTGAAATCGATTCGGGCTTGTCTCTGGGATACTAGTTCCAGGGACTTCCTCTCCAGAGCTTGTTGTATGACGACGAACTGGAGTCTCAGCGACACGCGAGGGCATTGAAGAAGATTTTTCCTTGCCATCGAGTTTCGAAGACTTTTCGTCGGATGCCGTAAGTCTTTGGACGGCAGGATTGCTAGAGAAAGTAACGCTACCCTCCCGAGCGCGTTGGGTTTCAGGGAGATCCTGAAAGGAGCCATGCGAGCTAGCGGATTCAGACCTAGGTCGCATCACCCTGTCTTCATCCTGCAGCTGAAACGAGACACGGCTTCGGTGAGACGTTGATGGAGGGGTAGATCGTAAACGTAATTGTTTCGCCGGTGATGGTGACTCTGGCAGAGCTGTGGCAGACGGATCTCCTTGATCCTCGGCGATGGGAGTTTGATCACGGTCCCATGTCTCGACATTGTCCTCGTGCTCATTCTTATTTTGACTGGGAGACAGCTGAGAGTCTTTTACCACCAATATCTGTGAAGACATTGCGATCTCTTCAATTTCCACCCGGTCAGAGCCCTGCACCTGAGACCGAGGGTCGACGGAGGCAGAAAGAACTTGCGACAGGCGTCCATGAGCATCAGCTGCGGCGGCAACAGGCGTTGCTGACTGTTCGTCACAGTTTTCCTTGTCTTCTTCCGCAGATACGTTGAGCTCTTGAGACCGTGAAACGGGCTGGTAGGTCTCTTCTTCCTGTTCCGTCTCTTCTTCACTCGTTGTTCCAGGAAGAAGAGCTACTGGGCCTTGCTGTTCATCTCCACGTGTAGCACCAGCTCCATCGGCCCAATCTCGCCTCTCCATCCGTTTTGGCGACGAGGTTGCCTCTGAGTGACGGCTACGGCGACTTTCGGGTCGCGCAGGAGCAGAAATTGCGGCAAACTGTGCTGCAGCCTCTTCATTGATCATTCTTTGGCGTCTCACGCGCTCCACAAAGCTGGGTTCCTTTTCGAACTCGCCATCACTTTGGTCTTCCGAGTAGATGTTCTCCGCAGAACGGGTCATCCTCTCCCGCAGAATTTTATCCCGTTGTGCTTGTGACTCCTTCATGGTTATGTAATTTAGATGTGGCTCCGACGAGTCCTGCGGGAAGGTTGCCGCAAGTTTGTTCAGCGGGGAAGACATTGCCGTGGCAAGAGGTTGGCCTTGAATAGGCAGGTTTGGAGAAGGCCTGTCAGACAAGGGATCGACGTTGTGCCCGTGGACGAGCGGTGAAGATGGAGCTTGTGTCGCTTTGAAGACTTGGCTTAGAGCCATGATACCGCTGGAATCGACATCGGTCGCCAACGGGTTCCGGGAAACCGTCGAAGGGGTCTTCACTGCGATGCTATCGATATTTGTGTGCTTCACCGCAGTTGCTGGAGTCTTTGATACAAAACGCTGCGACTCGGGGAAAAGGTTTGGCTGGTAGTGTAGGGGAGATGATTCTCCCAGTTTCTGACTACTCTGGTCTTCATTCTCGTTGTCCTCGGGGTTTACTGCATCGGTGTTCGCGTTGTCAAATCCAGCCAGCAAGTCAATGTGACCAGTATCGCCTTCATGAAGTGTTGCGAGGGTATCCTGCTGCCCCAGGTTACTCTCGAGACAGGAATTGGTTATCTCTTTGTTCTGTCGGATCAGATCGTCATAAACCGATTGAGAGATGACCTGGGTGTCCGAGGGGCCGGTTTCTCCAGAGCTCATTTTCCCGGACAAACGAAGTGCAGGAGTATTGTATGTCTTTGTTTGCTCAAAGTACCGGGGATTGACGTCGATCACACCGGTAGCATGCTGTTGTGGAGATTGAGGTCGGGAGGACGGTGGTTGATGGGTAGACAGAGTTTCGAGGGGATTTTCTTTCGCAATGGACGTCGACGGAAAATCACTCGATGATGGCTGTTGTTGGGGGTTGTCCTCGACGCTGTCAGAATAAAGATTGTCAATTATCCTAGAACCATCCAGGGAAGGCTGGGAGGGTGCAGATTCCTGGTAGAAATGTGGTGTGAGCTTGGTCGAAACGCAGACGAGGCTGATACTTACTAGTCCCAACGCGACGCGTTGCAGGTGGGCAATGTCAATGCTGTCTTCTTGAGTCTCCATGATTCTCTTCCACCCTACATCCCATATACAAGTAAGAAAGAAGGGTCTCTCGACCAGGCGTTTCTTTGATTGAGACTGCGGGCAAAATTGAGGTTACTGTGCGGTCATTCCTCCCCCAAAGGATCCTCATCGGATGAAACCAAGAACGCGAAACGCGTCATGCACGTGATTTACTAATATTACTGGATTCGGTTAGGCCACCAGACCCATACTACCATGTATGGAGTCATCATCTACTTGTAGTTCTTTCGGTAAGTTAGGTCGCTCAATGATGCTTCCAACCAAACAATAACATCGTTTTACGTGGTAGTGTAACTCTGAATTAGTGGGGTTGCATTCGTAGATGGCCAATAAGTCCATCACTCAGTAGGTAGAATAGTTGTACATAAGGTTACAGCGAGATAGCTTTTTGAATCCTTCTCATCTTCGTCACAAATACAGGAGCCAAGCCACGTACAACCAATAGAGTACATAAAAGTCAAGATATCCTATGCGCGAGTGCGATTCGGCACCCACCGCCTGATCGCCATCTCTCGGACCTTATAGTGACCCAGCAAGGCGCCGATGTCACTCTTGGAGACGTCGGGATTCGCGATGGTAGGAGGAGGGATCTCCACGTAACAGACCACTAGGGTCTTTCTCACCTGTGCCTGGACACGGTTCACGCAATGAAACCACCACCAGCTGCGAGCCTGTTTGCTGGCACAGTAGGCTATCCGCTCTTCAGTTTCAGACCAGTAAGGATGGTCATACGAGGGAATGATCACAACAGCAAATTCGGCATGCGAGAAAACGGGCCCACGATTGTAAAGCAGGTAGTCCACTCCGAATTTCACACCGGAGCGCACAACCCATCCAAGTGATCGAAAATGATGGTACACCACGTACGAAACTAGGAACGTATCGTCTGTTTTCAAATCGGCGGTCGCTCGAGGCGGGTAGGATGAGTGTTGACAAAAGAGTTGCAACAGAGAAGAGGACGAGAACGGACTATTTGTCTGGCGGTCATAGATTTGTAGCGCTCCAAGGCCATACACGAGGAAGAATGCCTCCTCATTGGACAGTTGAAGATGCTCTTCGTTCTTCAACGCCTGTTCCTGGGGAGGTCCCTGCTCGGTTACCGATGAGCCCGGCAAGAGTAGAGAAGTCGAATCAGAGGAGAACTCTTTAGCCTGTACGACTGGAGAGAACCGGACCGTCTTCCCATTGGGAGATTTCTTCCCTGGAGAGTCCGCCCCCTCGCTTTCGCCTTGCTGTTTTACCGAGCGCTGCGACTCAAGTTGTCGGGCCTCTCGAGCTTTCCTCAGAGAATACTTTTCTGTCGTAGGCGCCGCTCCGTTAGTGCCACCGACGCTTGGTAAGACGGAAGACGCGTTCACGGATGTGTCACCCGCCTCTCTCGCCGCGGCTTCTGCTTTGAGCCTCTCTTCGATGGCTAGCTTCTCCATCCTCGCTCTCTCTAGCTTGAGCTCGCGACGCTCAGATCTCCGCTGGCGTGTAACCTCTTCGCTGGTGAGACCGCCGAGCAGACCTCGCCTTTTCTTTTCCTGTTCCAGCCAGTTCGGTTCACTTCGACTCAAACTTCCCTTCCCAAAGAACCCCATCTCCCACAGTGCTCGGATCGCCTTCGCATCGGTGACATGGACCGAGGACGTATCCTGGTCAAAGTACGCGGGATAGATCTCTTGCGAAGGAGGCGAGATGAAATATGTCAGATATGACAGGAGCACACTGACTACGGAAAGCGGATTATGAGGAATGAGAGGAGGCAGAGGATAGACCGAGACAGGGAGTGGGAAGCGATGAATGTGTCTGTAATTGGGTCTTTGGGGACGTTGACGACGAGCCGGGGAGGGAGTATTCTTCGCAGGAGCGTCGGTGGCCGACACAGAAGCATCGGCCGCCTGCGGAGCAGGGCTAGGCACAGAGTCTGACTTTGAAGCCATACCTACTGAACCATAGCTGGCGCAATACGATGAAGGGCAGGAGGAAAAGTCTACGGCGGAGGGAAGAGTCAGCATGACACTCTTCATTACGAACAATGCAAACAGCGATGCAGTTGAGATATTCTCCTCAGATACCGTTGTAGTCAAATACACCCATCATCGACAACAGCAAGAAATCAAGGTGCCATTGCCTCGGCTTGGGTATAGTTTTCATCATCACCGGAGATCAACTGCAAGCACCGCTGCACCACTTAAGGTAAAGCGGCTGATGCTTACCAGAAATGTGGTTTCTGGAGTGGTGTGCTCAGAAACTGAGCCGAGATAGTTAGATACAGTTGCAGATTAGCGAGACAATTGGCATGTTTGAGCTCGAGGTTGGAGATTCATCATCATTATTCTCGATCCCAAGTCTCAAATCATCCTCGTCCACAGGAAAGTCGAGAGAAATGTTGCGGAAGACAAGAAAGAGAAAATTCACTCGCGCGGATAAATAGTGGGGAGCGGGCGGTGTGTCACGTGGCCTCTACTCTGCCGAAGAAAAAAAAACCTCATCGCGAATCCGGAGACGACCAGACCAGCCTCGCCAGTTCAGATCCAATACCAGACATTTTCAGTCGCTTCCGCCCTCAAAACCATCCAAGTAAGTTACTTCTATTATCTATTGGATAGCTGTACGGTTCTGACTCGATTGCCCCCAGAATGCATCTTATGGTATGTTGCGAAACTGCACGACTGTATCTTCCCAGCTCTAATCTCTCCGCACAGTACATCACTGGCCCCGACGGAAAGCGGGTTTGTAAGTTCATCTGATTCGGACTACATGGCTGGATTTTGCTAATCAATCTTGAACAGACACTCTGAAGAAGGTAATTTGAACCCGAAATGCGAATCCGAACTCAGACACTCATGAAAAATAGGTCCTCGATGGACAGGTCACCAAGAGCGCGCACCCCGCTCGCTTCTCTCCCGATGACAAGTACTCTCGGTATGTTCTTCTTGGTTCATGTGGCCAGTGGAATTTGGACGGGCCATTAGAAAGAATACCCAGCTGACCCTGGCTTTTCCGATAGTCACCGTGTCACCCTCAAGAAGCGGTTCGGTCTGCTCCTGACCCAGCAGCCCGGTATGGATATATCCCATCTCTAGAACCGAATGATGGGCGCAGATGATGCTGACGGTGTATCCATAGAGGAGAAGTCTGCTCCCCTCTAATGGGCGAAGCCACGGATAATTTGCACGGATAATTGAAGGGGTGTTCTGATGCTTTTCTGGCGCATGGTGTTATGACTGCGATTTCTAAATACCGAAGGCTTTCTTGATTGCCCTTTGCATATGGGGATAAAAAGTATTGCTCACGAACAATGACTGGTTAAAGTCCAAATGCAAGATCACATTCATCTATATATGTCCTTGTCAAAGCCTTTGTCCACTCTGGCCCATCACAAAAAACTATCGTCATAAATCCATCAATGGCATAACAAACAGAATCGTAAAACTTTTACCGAACTCCGACCCGGGATCTAATGCAAGCAGCAAAACGAAATAAGGTAAAAGATATCTACCGCTTTCTCGAGTTCACGTTCCTGCCAGCGCCGACTTTGATGCGCCCACCGTTCCGGTTTCTTTCGCCAGTCAAAATACTCGGCAGGTAATCTTCATCCATGAGATCACGCTCCTTGCGCTGTCTCCGGTTCTCCTCAGTGACAGCTCGAGTGTACTCCTTCTGATCTTCGGCGAAGATGAGCTCCGTACCCCAGCCCTTCTGGCCACCGCCGCCTTTCCACTTTCCGTTCGCGCTGCCGTGGACCGGCTTGGGGACACTAAACCGGTTGCCGCGGTTGTTCCATTGCATGTTTTTCTTCAGGTGCATCGTAAACTGACCGTTGGCGGTGGTCGTGCAGGAGACACGGGTAAGGGTGTCTTTTCCGCAACGCGGGCAGAACTGCTTGGTCATGTCCTTGGTGGTGAAGAAACAGGCATGGCAACGCTTGATGAAGGATTTGAGGTGGCGGATTCTTTGGAGAGTAGACGTCGAAAGCAGATTCAGGTTCATCTGCAGGAGGACATTTTGACACTGTTCAATGAGCCATCAGCCCCAGGTCCATCAATCCTACACACACGCAAAAGAAAAAAAACCTACCGCAAAATCCGTAGTCATCGTGGCAACTTGCATGACCTTGGGCTCCGGGGATGCATCCGCCGAAATATTATCATCGCGGACCTGCCGCTTCTTCAGATTGGAAGGTGTGATCCACTCTCCATCGGAGTCAGACGCAGCACCGTCCTCTTCCTTGTCCTCATCGTTGGTTTCGGGCTCCGCTTCAGCGGGGGCAGAGGCCTCCTGCGATTCCTGAGACTCCTGCGGTTCTTCCTTGGTTTCCGTCTCCAGGGTTGCGTTCTTCAGGTCTTCTGCAACGATGTCCACATCCGCATTGCTAGACTTCTCTTCGTCCTTGACCTCGGTGGTGGTCTCCGGTTTCGATTCCTCCGCCTTGGGTTCCTCCGTCTTCGCCGGTGGCTTGCCATTCACCTGTTTCTGACCCGGCACACTTCGCAGACGCCAGTCGCCACCGTTGCGCTCGCACTCAACCTCATAGGCAAGTGCCAGCACCTCCAGATCAGTGTAACTCAGTACGGCGCGATCACCGGTCTTGCGCGCGAACTCGCTCAGGATAGCGACGCTCTTGGGCGACGGAGTCCGCTGCTTGAGGAAGGGCAGATACATCGTTTCGACACGAGCACGCGCATCGGGATCGCGGATTTCCCGGACGACGGAAGGGGTGATGAGGAGTTCTTCGCATTGTGCGAGCAGGGTGGACAATGGCGGGGTATTCTTCAGGATGGGACCGGCATCCAGCACGATGGTATGAACCGGCTTGGGCCGGGTCGTCGACTCCGCCATAGTCGATAGTTATTTATAGGTCCTTCTGGAAAGAGACGGTTGGACTCCGAGAACCGTAAGGGCTTTCCAAGGGCGTTGTGGTGGGGGATGAAAACGAGGGTGTGCTCGTGCGGCACGGAAATTCCTTTGGATTTTTTGTTGGTCCGTGCGGGTCTTATCTTAGCGTCGTCGGGTTATCGCAGCACAACATCCTCCACGATACATCACTTCCTCCTCAACGCCAGTTGCGCAGTCATATCGACAGTGTTGTCCGTGTCTCGCTATGCGATCCTTGTCTGGAGACAAGGATGCACCTGGTATGCAGGTGGACGCCAAAAATACTCTACAGATCATTCCGAGACAGCCCCTCTATCTGAGTGTCCAGGAGTCGGACACCATATATATTGACGAGTCCACCACGCAATGACAAATTAGCCACAATGAACAAGGACCTCGTGATCGATCAATCACCTAGCAACTATATCATTGATTCTTCAACTACAACGAATGGCAGATTGATACCCGTCTTTATGACACCGGAGAAGCAAACGACGGACAAGACCATGGATCGGCGATCAGGTGGTGTCTCGCCGTGGTATAGTTGCTAGGCTTCCCATCTCGTTGCCTTGTACGGAGGCTGTGAACGCATACATCAGGGACACGATGGCCGAGACCTAGATGGATCCCTGGCGATTATAATCTTGACCACCTGAACGGACGACCCGATGATTATATGATGACTGCATATATCAGCCAGTAATAAGTGAGCCAGGCTGTCCTATCAGACCACTTTATTTGTTTGTTCCTGGATGGTCTGAAGAGGTACTTAGTACCCTTGTCCAAATCATACCATCAAGACAAGCAGACCTCGATCTATCGAGAGGATGACAAACCCAGGAGACCATTTTGGCCAGACAGACACACAAGACAGACAATCCCATGTATGACACCACGGACTCAATTCCAGGGGAAGCCCGCCCATTCGGATCTACTCCGTAGATAAAGAATGAACGATCGCACCAGCCAGCTAACGAACATGTGAACAAGAGTCATCAAACCAATGATCAGCAATAACGCCCCAATTAATCTAGGCGTGACACCGCCTATCTCCGGTTGGGCACTGAGCGTGATTCTGGGGTCGATCGGGGTCGAACGGTCTGTCAAACCTGCATCAGCACCAACATTGGCGCACTCTCGCCAATAAAATATACTACGCGATTCCACCGAATTTGCACTATGACCCTTGTGGCGTCCCCAAAGACCAACTGACCAAAATCAGCAAGTGTGCCCAAGTATCGCTGCGACAAAGAAAGGAGCACATAGCATTATATCACAGCGTTTCACCTCGATCAAGAACCTCAGAGCCTAGCGGTCGATAATTGAGCAGATAAACTCATTATAGAGACAATTATTGCTTATTCCAGAACATATCTCCGGCAACGTCACCGAGTGTCGCGGCGAGAACGGCAAATGTGATGCATCGAGTTTCCCGTACCGGGGGCGTTTCGGCGGCAGAGAGATTCGCACAGCGCAGCGCCATAGTCGCGCGACTGGCTGCATTAGAGTTGGAACTGACATCCCGTCTGTATAGTACTTCTGAATTTTCATCACGGCCCCCCCTGCATGTCCGTTATTCAATGTGGCTCAGATCAAGCGAGTCCCGACGGCAATCGTCACACGCCAGATCCCTGTAAGAACCTGCGAAACTTGACATATCCCATCGTCCCGACTCATCCAGCCAGGATTCCAGGTCAAGGCTGGTCATCTCCCTCGGTAAAGGGAGAATGAAACCAAAGGGTAGGCCGCCCTTCCGCGAGAAGGGGAAACAAAGGATACACCTTGGGTCCTGTTCCGACATCCCTTGCTCTTACACCTCCCTGAAACCTTGATCGTGAAGCTTCTATGATACCCATGTCGTGGAACCACGAAATCCCTTTCTAGGGCCGCAGGGAATCACGTCAAACAGGAGAATAGGAATCTTGGCGGTTCTATCAGCTCGGTCTGTCTGTAGCTCGGGAACGCCCTGACCGCATGCCCCTAGCTGCAGGGAGTCACGCAGCTCAAGGGCAAGGAGCATAAGGGGAAAAAAAACTTTCCTTGGTCGCCACGATCTACCTGTACGATGACGGTCCGCCTTGACCACCCAGGCGAGGAGGGGTGCATCTACGTCCGGGTCGCAACGGCATTTGTCAAAAGGCCTACATGGCTGCCCATGCTTGCGATGTACAATCCGTATGCACATAGCCAACCATGCACGTCTGCATGGACCAAAGGACTGGACTTTTGGATATGTCTCCGATCCGTTGCTTCCTCCACTCTCATCTGCTCGGTGGATCGATCGGACGGCTCTCTCCGGTCTACATGGATGTCGATCACGCCTGGACCTCGCCATCAACACGAACTCTGTTCAGCCGGGCTGGTAGACAGCCGGGGTAGAAAATAAGATTGCAGTGCTTTGTTTTATTACTATTATTTTGCTTTGCGAAATTCCCCAACGAGATCCAGGGTTGCATCCAGTGATCCTGATATTGTGCCAGTGGCATCTCCCTTGCTTGCTTTTCTTCGTACTTTTCTCTCCTTGACGCTCCATTAACCTACATTAGTGCCTGTCTTATTATCGGCCCGCAATTCCCGGAGAAGCAATGAGACATCGTCGCAGATCCTGATGCTCTATTCTCATCCTTCCGCCGGACTGACCGTTTCTGGGGCTCGAGGAGAGAAAAGGTTTATAATCTAGTGGCTCCTCGATCCACAGGTTCTCTTGGCTCCTGTCCTACTATTGCTGTCATTTGAACTACCAGTGACGGCCTCCCAGACATGATCACGTTGTTCTGATATCTCCCACATAAAGTCCAAAGACCCTAGGAGATCCCTAGGACAGCGTCTTTCATCAGACAATCAGACAAAGACGGAATTGAACAATGGCTGACGTGCTCCACATTCTCCTCCCACGGGAGGAGACAGGACAGTCATACTTCTCCCACGGAGGTAAACGGGGTCTGTCCATCAGCGTTGTCTTCACCAGCCTGGCAACGATCTTTGTTACTGCCCGCATCTACACACGCACTCGGTTGATGAAACGCATGGAGCCGAATGACTGGATGATCCTGATTGCCCTGGTAAGCGTCTTTAGCCGGACGCACGCTGCCCCATCCCGATAACTAACCCTCTATAGACCTTCTCGTACGTCTTCATGGGCTTCTTCATCGTCGAATCCCTGAATGGCATGGGCATGCACGGCGCCGACATTCCACCGCCAGTCATGCTGAAGCAGATGAAGGTGAGTTGGCGCCGCACACCCGAAGACCTCAACCCCATCAAGCACTGCTGACAGCCACCGCTCGCAGGCATTCTGGCTTACCATTCCGTTCTACAACGCGGCCCTGCTCTGCGCAAAGGCCTCCATCCTTATGCAGTACTTCCGCGTGTTCCCCACGAAGCGTATGCGCGTCGTGTGCTGGGTGCTGATCGGCGTGCTGGCCACCTACGGGTCCTGGGCCGTCCTGAGCGCCTTTCTCAACTGCATCCCCGTCGCCAAGTTCTGGAACCCCACGCTCCCGGGCTACTGTATCAACCAGAAGGGGCTGTGGTTCTCGAACGCATCCATGCATATCTTCACCGACCTCGCCATTCTGATCATCCCCATCCCGGCCCTGCACGCCCTCGAGCTGCCCAAGCGGCAGAAGATCGCCCTGATCTCGATATTCGCGCTCGGCGGATTGTAAGTTGACCCGTAGCCATGTTGCTGGGAAAGGGAGCAGGAATTCTGACTGGATGCAGCGTCTGCGTCACGAGCATCTGTCGGTTAGTGGCGCTGAAGAAAATCTCCGACTCCACCGACCCTACCTGTACGTCCCCCCGCCCCCACAAACATACATGCATGCATGAGTCAATGCGAAGAACCATAACTGACGATATGTAGTTGACAACGTCGACGCAGCCTCCTGGTCCGCCATCGAATGCAACACGGGCATCATCTGCGCCTGTCTGCCGACGCTGCGGCCGCTCGTTTCCCGCGTGATACCTCACTTGCTCTCGACGCTCAGCGCCAGCGGCCGCACCGCCTATGGAAATGCGCCCTTGTCCCGTGGTCAGGCCCCGACGTACTGGAACGGCACTGGAACCGTCTCGACGACCGTCACGGCCATGGATGACGTGGAGTATGGCCATGGCGAAGCGGACAAGGTCCTGACCCTGGTCCCGGGGACGGACGTCAACGGCAGGGAAAAGCTGATGGTGAGGGAGAGTAGGACGGCACACGTGACGGAAAGCAAGGAGGCAGCGATGGGGTCAGAGAACAGGGGAGGGTCGTCTTCGTCATGATTCTCCTTCGCGATCCATTTGGACACTTGTCGGGCTTATTATCAGCCACGTCTTGATATTCCCTTCTTTAATGCTGCGACGTGCTGCGTTGCTTTTCATCTTTATTTGTTATATATATGTATATTCGAGCAGTTCAGTGATACCAACATGCAAGAGTCGACGAGATCTCTAATGATGCAATCATAGCCAGAATAGTGTATTAACTAAAAAGCAAGAAGAACAGATCGTTCCGTGAAATATGCTCGCGTGAAATGAGAGTAAATATAAGGCCACCTAGAACCCGCACAGTGCAAACTTAAAAGTCGGCGAATTCCTTGTCGACCTCCTCGAAATGGTCAAAGAAGCCCTTGAACAGCTTCACACCCAAGCCTGGGTCAAGGCTTCCCGTCGTCGCACGGATACTGTGCATGCTCAACTGCGGAATACCGACATCAATTGCCCGCATACCAATGCGGGCGCTCGTCATTGGGCCAATGGTGCCACCGCTGCGAGAATCATTACGGATCTGGAAAACCTGCAGCGTCGCACCGCAAAGATCCGCAACGCGCTTGATGAAGCCGTAGCTCACGCTGTCGGTAGTCATGTGGCCGTTGGAATCGGCCGACACCGCCACGCCGACGTTCAGTCGCGGGGCGTGGTTCTCCAAGTAGACGTTCAGGAAGTTGGGGTTCACGGCGTGAATGACGTCGGACGAGACGAAGAAGCTGTTAGCGACCGTCTGCGAGAGGATGTTGGGACCGTAGTTGGAGGCGAATGCCTCCGTGATGCGCTCCATCACGCTGCTCATGAAGTTGGAGCGGGCGCCCTGCCGGAGCAGACTGCCAATCTCCTCGTCATCGAACATACCCACCATCTTAATGGAGCTGGTGGAGGTGCTATCCGGCGACGCCAGCAGCGCCTCCTGGGCAGCATAGCAGCACAGCTTATCGTCGATGCGGCCGGCAAAGATAAAATCCTTTTCCAGACCACCCAGCTGCGCGGGCTGACTATCATACAGCTCCAGCTCCCAGTTCAGAATAGTACTGTAATCCGTGACCCCAAGCTCCTTGGAGATCACCTTGACCAGCTTCTCGGGCTGCGTCGCCGCAAACGTACCGGGCTCGATCCCGTTATCCGCTGCGGCGGAGAGCCCCTGTTGCTGGAAAAGGTCTGAGTTGTCGATGCCGATGATTGGGACCATCTGCGTCTCCTGGTTGAAGGGGCCCTGCGACGGGGCGCCGAAATGGGGCGCCAGGGTCGGGATGCGGGCGATGGGCCAGCCCAGCTTGACCAGCTTGGACTCGACCTTGCCCGACGCCGGGTCACGGACCAGGACACGACCGCCAATGGAGAGATCGCGATCCCACCAGGTTTGACTCATCGCACCTGCATAGGGCGCCACGCCCAGCTGGGCGAAACCGGCTTTGGTGGGGACCTTAGACACGGGTTTCAGCTTTGCGGTGAGGGCGTCGATGTGACCCGCCACAATGGCCATGCCATTGCCGCTCTCGTAATCCTTTCCAATGGAGAACGAGATGATTGCGCTGCCATTTCGCGTGCAGTAGTATTTGCCCCCTCTTTGCAGCTTCGATGACCAGGACTCGCGTTCCGGAAGGCGCTTGTAGCCTTTGCTCTCGAGTCGCTTCGCAAAGCTATCGACTGCGTGGAAGATCGTCGGATTGGCGGTCATGAAATCGCAGTACGGTTGCGAATAGGCCTCTGGAGCGAAGGCGGTGGTGCTGGAAGCTGGGGATGACTCAATGGTGGCTGGGAGCGAGGGCGTTGACTCTGGACGTGGTTGATCCGCCGGGCGATAAGCCACGGGGACGCCGCTGAGCCCCATGATGCCGTATTTTTTGGCCATTTCGGGTCCAGTTACAAGGGATGTGAAGTTGTGAAGGGAGATGGAGAGACACAGGAAGACAGGGGGAGGACAATGGATGGAAGGGAGGAGGAAAAGGAAGAGGCGGGAGAGTTGGAGAAGGGGAATGCGGAGGCGTTCCTGATAAGGCAACCCGATTACTCCGATCCCCTCACTCCACACCACCACCATCCGACTTTCGACTATGACGACTAACTACACAGATACATGCATCTTAATCGCTCGACCCGACATACGCATTCCAGTCTACAATCCCTCCCGCGCACTGGTCAGAGATCGCCGGCCCAACAGTCGACACCACCTCCGATCCACCGCGCATGATGGAGATCCTCACGGGCCCAGTCTGTCCATTGAACGGGAAAGATCCATGGTTGACGCCCGGGGCTCCAGCATCAAGAACAGATGGAGGACTGTTTCCGATCTGGACATGCGTCTCGCTAGGCGCAGTCACAAACACGCTGACAAACACTCGGTCCTGCGATAACTCACACGGATCCATCTGCTTCTGACCCATGGCCGGGTTATTGCCCGTGGTTCCGTCAGAGCTCCCCGAATTCCCGGGGTTGAGTCGATACCAGTAGACGATTTTGTCGCGAGAAGACACCTGCGGGTTCATGGACACAGCGTTGACCCCGTTCCCATGGACCCTCGCAATATTCTGTCGGTACCCATCGATGTAGTGCGGCAACAATTCCCGCCAAGCATCGTGAGGATGATCGGAGACATACCGCGATGCGCCATCAGGCATACCAGAGCCATAGATGGGCCCGATGTAATGCGACTCGCCATAGTCGTTCCAGCTCAAAATCTAGAAAGCCGTCAGACTAACGAAACAACGATTGCAGGCACAACGATACATACCTGGACCAGCGGCGGCTGCAGCTCAATGACCTGCTTCCAACGGTAATGCCACAAGTCGTCGCCGCGCCAGAGCCAATTCTTGTTCCACTGCGGGAGATTGGTGTAGAACCACGGTGCCACCGGCATCATGTATGGTTTTCCCGCTAGGGCATCCATCCAGGCGACATCGCTTGCGGTGGATTTGTTCTCAGCCCCCACGGGCCAGGCATCCCAGCTGAATGCGCCGTCGATCGTATCCATGACGCTGTGGATCCCTTCCGGGCCCATGCTCGTCCAACAGGGGATGAACATGCATCCGGTGGCATTTTTGATATTTGGCCAGTCACCAGCGTTGCCGGCCCCCTCGAAGGTGGACACCAGCGGCTTACCATTGTAGTGGAACTGTGCTGTTCTGGTCTTATAAGTGTTGATGATCGAGATCACTCGGTCCGCGGGCCAGGGTCCTCCGGATCCATAGTCGAAGGAGATGAATAAAGAGAAATTTCCGAGCTTTTCGGCGACGTCGAATGCAGTTTGTAGAGCTCGATCGGTGTGGTGGTCTTGGGGCGCGATATTTAATGCAAAGCCGTCAATATGGGCTTTTTGCGCTTCGATGATATCGTACTCCCATTGTTCTGGGGTCATGTAGTACGCATTTCCGATCTGTATGATCAGCTGAGGCGCTCTGTGACGGGGTAGATATACTTACAATGAAGTGAGCAAAGACATTATGGAGATGGTCGGGCGCAGGGAAGCTGTTCTGCGATTGGGGAGCAACTGTGGAAGCTATTCAAGTCAGTGGAACAATTCTTTGTACATGCTGTATTGTTATTCAATCTACCGACTGGGGCTGGGAAGCATATGGAACGTCAAAGCATGGGGATAATGATAACTCACCGGTATACTGTGGCTGTGGTTGTGGTGCTAAGGGAGGTGGAGGATATTGCTGCTGCTCTTCTTGAGGATGTTCATGTTTCCCTTTTGTATGGATGTGGTTGAGGAAGCGGTCAAGATGTCTCATTTTGGCGTTCAGCCTATGACTTCCGGCTGTACCGACAGTGTATCAGAAAGATAATGAGAAGGAAGTTGACGACAGACTACCAGCTATATAAATAACCGTTCAAATAGCCAAACGGTGAGGCGTTGCCACGAATTGACCCAGATTGGGACTTGATAACTGATCTGTCATAAGGGGTGCTGTTGGATCGCAATGCTGACGACACTCCGCATGGACTATTGATGCTATGCTGCCGACATATATCTAGGTAGTTGCGTACTTGAGTATCCGGGCAGGCAGCGGTGTTCTTGAACAACGATCATGGTGCAAACGAGCCAAAGAAATCTTTTGTCGGCCCTTAGGCCTCTAGGTTGCCTCTTTGGGCCTAGCGCCTGCCTGTTCTGCTTCCCAGCCTAGATGAAAGCCATCCGTGGATGATAGTATGGGAGCTATTTCATGGCCGACTGGTATCATGAAGGATTGACACATGCAGGTAGAGTCGGATTTGCAGAAGGTAATAGCAACGGGTTTACTGCAGCTAATGGCCGATGACTCGGCTTCGTCGGTGGAGGAAAAGAGCACATGCTGCTGGAGACGCCAAGACAGAGGACCAGTGGGATTGGCCGCGATGAATGGAAGATTACGGAATGTTGCCGTAGGTGCGAGGGACAGAATCTATTGTACCTGAGGTCCTCGTCGATGTTCGAGCAAGTATACAGTACTTACCCTCACTAGCACCCAGGTACGATAATATAGCAATCGACGGACAACTCCAAGACTACATGATGCAAATGCATTGCATGTGAAACAATAGTCAATGTACCTTAGGACGAGTGGTAAAAGTCGGTCAAGTTCTGCAGGGGATTTTCCGGGCCGGGTTTCGCCCTATTGATTCCGTTCATCGGCAACCGAGACTCCGCCGAGCTGGAAGGGCCCTGGGTAGGATCCCGTATGCCGAGCGAGAAGAGAGTTAGGTGCGGGGCCAGAAAAGAGCGCAGTAAGGGGACAACCTCCATCTAGCGAGACTTTCACTGGTTTTAGTGCGTGATGGTGTTTGATCGGCGAGGACGCATTACGACACCAACATCCGAAAACGGCAAGGTGGGATCAGATAAGATCAGACGATGGCGGGATGTTGGGAATATCCAACCTCCGCGGATTTCGCTTCCCCTTTGGAGGTTAGTGTTGGACAGGGTTGAACAAGAGAGATCAGAGATTTCACTGCCGCTTGTGCTCATTGGTCCTGGGGCAGTTCCTATTTCTAATCGTCACCGTTGAACCCAGCCTTATTACCCATGTGGTATAGGGTACCCTAGACCCGGGTAGTTTCTGTCTTTTCTGCCCCCCTCTCCTGCAAGAGATGACTCACGCCACTCAAAATAATGGCTGAGAGAGCGAAGTCAATGCGAACACTAATAGAAATTCCGAGCTCTGAAAGTATCAATTCTCAGTTACCTCCCGTGGGTATCCTCGTTAACTCTCTTCTCGGAGCAGCACCAGCTGGACGAATAGTGGCGGCCATCGCGGATGAGAAATTCTTCCCCACCACCTTTCCACTCGCACAATTGCCTCGTTCCACGGGTGGGAGGATGGATTGACTCGCTGTCTTGTAGTCATTATGGATGTCTATCATCATGATGCCGTCTGTTGGGGTTGATACGATCGAGAGTGACGCCTGTAATTGATTGCCGTACTAGGTAGTAGACAACTAATCAATACATACCTTACACCGATGGTTCAGAACCAGACCATCAATTGTACAGAGTAACTTCCTCTCAATAAAATATACTGATTGATAACCCCGCGAACCCATGGATCGTCGAATGAGACGGCCGAGCGAGAGGGACTCCACCGGACCCAGGGTTACTCCGAAATCGGGGGGGAAGAAAACCTGCGCACGATAATCTAATCTGATCCGATCACTTTTTACCAACGTGATTTCCCCTCTTCCTCTTTCTCTCTCCGTCTTCCTCTTCGTCCTCCGTTCCTCCTCGGCTGTCGTGTCTTCCTTCCAGCTCTCCTTCCCTCCCATCCCATCTCCCTTCAATTCCTCTCTACGTCTGAATCTGATATCTGTTCGGGAATACTTCTCTTCCCGACAGATCTCACGCTGTTCTGACCGCACCCAGCTGTTCTGTGGTTCGCCTGGCAGAAAGAGCCCTTCCGCTCTTCCGGCCCTAGCGACGAGGTGACACCACCGCACCCGAACCTGGAACTAGTCGTACCTGCTGGTCCGTTCTCTCCCACCCTTCATATCT